CCGATGTGTCCTGGGCCAGCTCAATCTGCTCAGAGAGACCCATCAAGAGCACTTCGGGCCTCTGGGCGACCCATTCTTCATTCAGCTGCTGCTCTGCTGCGGTGCGCTGGACGTTGTCGGGCGACTGGAGGCCCTGCAACAGGGTGGCCAGCGCCGTGTGGACCTCTGCGGGTAGAACAGACATGTTGCGGGCGTGCGTGTACGTGTGCGTGAGCGTGAGGTATCTTTATGGGCAAGCGGCCCTATTGCATGTAGTCTTGCTCGCAAGCAAGGGCCTACCAGGAATGGAGCGGTGGTGGGTTGGCCGTAAGTGGTTGCGGAGCGCGCGTGACGTGGTTACCGTCGCGCCCCTACTGCTGTAGATAGATGCAAAGCGCCCAAGTACAGTGCTACGGGCAAGTAAACAGGCAACACAGCTAGGGGTTCTGTGTGATTGAGAGTGAGTGTGAGTGTGTGTGTGCCGTAGCTTCAGGGTTGCCGTGGAAATTTCACAGCAATGTTTTGGCGGGGCTGCGTGCAAGCCCGCGCCTTGTCCAAAAAATGTTGTCCAACCACGGGCAAGGATGCTCGTAGAAGGCTTGCCTGCCCCGCCTCGTCATTGGCTGTCAGCGCTGACCGGGGCTGCCTCAACACCGGCTTCTCTTCACCCACGCTCGCCACGTATATGTACATACATATGCTGCTGTGCCTGGCGTGTGTTCGTGGCTGCATGCTTGGGTAGGCCATGTATATAAATTCGGCTACCCACATTGCTATCAATTACCCAGGGATCTATGGGATATCAAACTCTAACAAAGGAAATAATACACTCTCGCTGACGCTTCAATCTTTCGCCTGCTGCTACTCACACCTCACCACCCATGTCTTTACCGGCTCGAGGCACGGCCAAGCACAAACACACCAACAATAACGACGGCTAGCACACCAATGGCTCCGGGTAGCAAAAGATCGTTCGGGACACCGGCAATGATTTCGGGCTGCTGCGACAATGGGATCGACTGATGTCGGCCCCTCGATCTAGGCTTTTCGTCGGCGTCGTCGTCAAAAAATTGCTTGCGCTCACGAAGCGTAGACTCGGGTGGCGTGGCGGGCTTGGAGAGCCCTGGCTGAGGATTGACCTCGGCGGACATTGGCGGCTTGTCGGGGTGGTGGACGAAGAGGTCGACCTTTTCGCGGTGCGCCATGCGTGACAAGCTGACAGCCTCTACAAGATCGTCGTTGCTCGTAATGGAAATGGTATCGCCTTCATTATCAAGGTAGCTTAGCGCAAAGCCTTCCCTGGAGAGCCTGCCGTCCTCGAAGCTCGGCGCACCCCCTAGGCTTTCAACCTCGCTACCCAGCTTGTTCGCCACACTGTTGATGAGCTCTTCGAGGCCAGCAGAAATGACTACCTGCAGGCGGTGGACACGCCCACTTGGAGCCTTGAACTTGAACGGGAATGGCATGTCTTCCATATGGATAGGGTGGTTGCTAGCGACGGCAGACGGGGGCGGTGAGTCGTCTCCGTTATGGGATGCAGACTCGTTTGGCATCACGCTGTCGCCGCGATCCATAAGACCAGGACGGTCGTGGTGCGAGATGTGCGAGCGGTGGTCAGGATGCCGGCTTCCTTCGCCAGACATGACCGACTCAGTCTCATTGTCAAGAGAGAGCCAGAACTTGTTCCATGCAGGGCCCTCACTATCCGTGGTGCTGATGTTGTTGATCTTTGCCTAGTTAGTGTTGTGAACATCCTCACCCAAGAATCCGACATACCTGATCAAGCGTAGCATAAGTCAGCTTGAGAACGTCCACCATGCCGACGATTTCACCAGCATCGCTCATAACTGGCAGGTTGAGGTAGTGCCCATCTGTATATTGTTAGTGCATGCTTTAGACAAGGGTTCCCTGTAATCCACTTACCATGCATCTTGCGCAGAGCAGATTGAATGCTCATGTCCACTGGCGCAAAGTCGGGATGCGGAGTCATTACTCGCACAACACTGCAAGTCATTGGGTCAAGCCCCGCGGCAATAACACGGAGGACTACGTCCTTGCTAGTGAAGATACCAGTGATCGAGCCATTGTCCTGCACAAGAACAGCAGTTGTGTGGTTCTCCTTCATGAGTGCCGCAGCCTCCTTGACCGAAGTACGCACAGATACGGTTGTTGGAGGGAGACCAGTCAAGACAGATTCCAGAGTAGGGCCGGACATCTTCTGGCGAATTGCCTCGACATACTGAATAATCTGCTGCGGCTGGCTCGAGCCCATCTCTGCCTGCACACCCTCAAGAGCATCGTACAATTTGCGAGAGGAGGCATACGCCCGCTCCAATTTCTCCATGGCATCGTAAAAGCACTTTGTGATGTCCAGAATACCTGAAATGTCATGGTTCTCATCCATGACAGGAAGGTGGCGGAAGCCCTTCCTGACCATGAGGTCCAGCGCATCCGTCGCACTTGTATCAGTCTTTGCGCAAAGGGGGTTCTTGGTCATAATCTCCTCAATGGTGACATCGCGAGCCTTAATGCCGTTTCCGACCACACGGAAAGCAAGATCCTTGGCTGTGAAGATACCCGCAATACGGTCATCATCATCTGTTACCAAAACGCAGTCCTCCCGCTTGGCCGCCATCAACTGTGCCGCCTCGGCGACCGTAGTCGATGGCTTTATTTGGAGTGCTGGGGACGGCTTCAGGGCGAGGACGGTGCCGGGCGGGGCTTTCTTGGAGGGCCGAACTCGTCCGCTAATATTCTTCTTCTTATTGAGATCCGTCTCAATCTTTCGCCGAATGGCCTGTCGCAAAATCAGTATGCAGTCGCACACATGCAGCAGGGCCACTCACGTCGTCTCTCTTGGACATTTTGGCCCGGCTGGCGCTGAGCGAAGAGCCGCCCGCATCGCTCTGGGTGACATGCGAATGGTTCTCCAAACCAGAGGGGCGCGGGATGGCAGAAGGGCTGTGGCCAAGATGCTGGGGCTGGTTACGGTTCGAGTTTTTGGGCGTCCCCCGCATGGCACCAGTATGCGACATGGCGACGTCGTGTGCGTTGTAAACTGCAAAGCTGGTTCTGCCTGGTTGGCGGAGGAGGGGCCAGTAAGAAAGATTCCAGCGGCCTATACGGAGGTCGATGTGGTTGCCAGGGTATAGCTGCTAGACGAAAACAATCCCAAGGGATCAAGCGCCTTGCCCAGACCGCCACTCACCACATTCCCAGTTTCCACGGCACCTGACGTGTCCACGTCTCGTGCAGCAACAGGAATCGCCATTATACAAGCAAGATCGCATCTCCAATCTCTTCCAAGTCATGTGTTTTGGTTCCCTGATCGGGCTTCTTGTGAGGCTGTGGACGCAACAGAAGCAGATGCACCCCTTTACACATGGAAAATTCACGCATTGACTCATATCTGCAAACGTGCCTCCGTGAGACCACAACGTTTCTATCTTTTCGATTGCATATCGGAACATATCCAGTCTTCCTTTTCCCGATTCAACCCGTCGAGTGTTCTTATACGGAATAATCGTGTGCCCCAGACAGCCGCCCTCTTATCTCAATAACATTTTTGTACAGTCTTGTTCAAGAAGTGTAGTTGTCGTGCGTTGAATATATATACATGGGACATCATAAAGGAAACTTACAATCACATGTCAGCGATAGTAAGCTCCGACCATACTCTCAGACAGAGAAAATAGGGGCTACCATCGAATGACAGCATGCATCCGCAGAATTATGCACAGCATTTCGTCCACGCTCTAAAGTGATTCGGCGGTCCTCTATACACAGTCGAGGGGAGGCAGTGCAGCTCCATGCGGCTAGCACCATCAGTGCCAAGAGATAAGATTAGATCCGCACCTCTCTAAGCGAATTTCGACACTCGTGCATCCCGACTTCACGAATCCGACGTCAGGAACGACTCTCACGACAACACCCCACTGCTGACTTTTAGATTCCACATCTTCAGTACGCACTCCGTGCCTCGCTCACCTAGACATCCGCTTACATCGTTCGACAGAATCAGCCCAACATGGTCAAGAAGCGAGCGTCCAACGGCCGTAACAAGAAGGGTCGCGGCCACGTCAAGCCCATCCGTTGCTCCAACTGCTCGCGATGCACTCCCAAGGACAAGGCGATCAAGAGATTCACCATCCGCAACATGGTTGAGTCTGCCGCCATCCGTACGTCTCACAAACGACCCCCGTACCGCACCAAACGGCCATAGACATCGAGGTGGCGAGCGGATTTTGGGTGTCCAAGACTGACAAAACCAGGTGATATCTCCGATGCCTCCGTCTTCCCTGAGTACACTGTCCCCAAGATGTACCTGAAGCTCCAGTACTGCGTCTCATGCGCTATCCACGGCAAGATTGTCCGGTACGTCACGCCTCTACAAGGAATTGATGCGCCCGTATTCTAACATGCCCAGTGTCCGCTCGCGCGAAGGACGCCGCAACCGTGCTCCTCCCCCACGTGTTAGGTACAACAAGGACGGAAAGAAGATCAACCCCAACCAGGCTGCTGCTAAGACCACCACTGCTTAAGCGGGGCGCGGGTATAGAAAGGAATTGATCACGGCGCTTGGTGTGGGTCTTATGGTTCTTTCGGAGTGTCATACTGGAAAATGCATGAATTCACGGAAGATAGGGCAGGCCAAATGACGAATCATGGTTGAGGCTCGCTCGGAATTGCCTGCTTGAGCACCGAGAGCTAGCTATGAGCTTGTAAACGAATATCCAAGTCGACTTGCACCATCTTCTCATTTACTCTGGTGATGTACATGTGTTCGCTCGGCAGGGGTGGACACTACACTTGGCAGCAGGTCCTTTTATCGGGGTTCCAAGGCTTTTCGCGGTTATAGAGAAAGTCACTCTTGTCTGGTGCATTGCGCGAAACGAAGTGACGTCAAGCATGCAACATACGTGGCATACAGGAGGAATGTCAATTACTGCAATACCAAGGGCGTCTGTCCTCCCACCCCACCAGCATTGGTAAGATCCACATGTATCATATCAGTTTCGGCCTCAGTCACTTCGTTTCTTTCCGTCGTCGTCCATACTCTTCCTCCCATTGGTGGCTTCAGGCTCCGTCGTCTCCCAATCCTCAGCATTCTCATCCCATCGATCGAGTTCTTCCTCTACTGTGGGTCTGACAACGCCCGACTCTTGTCCTTCGACATTCTCTCCCAACTCAATATCTCTCTCCTCGTCTCCAGCAACAGCAGTGTATCCGCGTGCGGCTCGCTTGCGCTCGAGCATGCGCTTATGGTACCAATTGCAAAGGCCTAGTGCGAGGAGAGAGCCGAGGACATTGGCTACGATGTCATAGTAGTCGAAGTCGCGATGTATCTGGACGCGAGTTAGCTTTGCTCGCTATCTTCCTCGCTTGAAATCGTCTTGTAGTGCCTATATGCACACTGTTGCTCTCGGCAACTCCGGAAACCTTGTATAAATCTAGGGTGAACTTACAGGCAACAATCCCTGGATGACCTCACTCGCAAATCCCAGGCCGAGCGTACAGACGGTAAAGGTTAGCTGCACCACCTTTCTCCTGTTTGTCTCGAGAATCCAGTAGAAGCATAGGGTGAGCAAGAAGAAGGCTGTGAAGTGGAGCGCTTTATCCGACTGCTTGTACGTGGGGATTTTGTAGTCTGGTGGGGAAAAGCCCGCGGCTGCGCTGATGAAGATGAGGCCAATAAAGGCACCTTTGGGGATGTTAGCATGGCCCTATGCAACTGTCGAGAGTGGGAATTCAAGTGAACAGCATGGACAGTGGGACAATTAGAACATGGCCCTCTACTGCTCACACATATGCGCTGTTCTCGGAAAGGTGTTCAAAGCTCGCTGGCTCAGCGGCGTCAGAAGCTACGTACCAGCAAAGGGTTTCCGTATCCGCATTATGGGCTATTGAGCTGGGTTAGGAGGTCCGGATGGGTGACTTCATGCTCACGGTACGGGAAAACAACTGTCAGAATCGGGCGCAGCGCGGAACTGCAACGTTCATGTCACAAGCTGGCATCTGGCGAACCTGGCCGTGGCCGGATGAGCTAGGCCCAGTCAGGCAACGTTACTGTCGATCACGTGTGGAACCTATGAAAATCAGCAAACCTGGGGTACTCTGTGCTGGGCTCGTCTCAATTCGAGGATACATGCATGGACCTAGCTGCATGGCCTCAAGTAGTCCTGCAGTTGCAGGGGCGCTGCTATGTACGTATGACAAGGCGGCGCTCCACAAGGCCTGAACGTGTTCGCATTACCACACCTCGTCCGCACAGCCATTTCAACAGTCCTTTGGGCGTGGCGTGTAGCATGGCCAGCAATTGAATGCCTGGCTTTTGGTAGAAATACGAGGCATTTGACGTAGCAGACACAGTATTACCATGGTTGCGCCCTGAATGCTAGTGCCGGCCAGCTCGCTCAATGACTTTTTGCCGACTGCATAAAAATAAGTAACAGCCAGACAAAGGCTTTGCATGTGCACTCGAAAGCATCTGCGCGCCAGCAAGTGTCGTTGTGGGGGAAATGTGGTGGCAGAGGCCGTTTGATATTGGGGCGTGGGTGAAGCATGGGGCTCGCGGCGGGAGCATCGCTAACGGAGCTAAGGCGTGCCTACCTAGCCAGACTGGACAGTTGGACCACCTGCTTAAGACAACGACGCCAAACTCACGAGCCGCATCTTCGGCCATCAATAGGCGCGCCCACACCACGTCTTTCATCTCGCAGCCATCAGAAATCCACTCGCTCGACGTAGACCTTCCTTCCATGCTTGATTTTATCGCGTCGCGACACCTGCACCAGGTTGGACGTCGCCCTGAAGGCGGGCCATCCCCGTGAGGCCGCGAACTGCCAAGACCCCCCCACAACCGACGACGACGACTATGTCCCTCGCTGCATCATCATCATCATGTCCGCCATCCTCGCGAGACCGCCCAAACCATGCCCGCTTCCTGCATCAGCCTCCCAACGCGACCCACTTGCGCATCCCCAATGCGCCGCTGAACGATGAGGCCATGTCAAACGCCTCCAACGCGAACCACCTAGGGGATGGGGGAGACATCACGACTGAGGAGGATCCCCGAGCCACGCGCTGGCGAGACCATTATCGGCGCACCGAAGCGCGTCTGGCAGCAGTACTCGGAGGAACATTCGAGGGCGATGCTGTTGATGCTCTAGATAATGCGCCGGGGCCGTCATCCGATGATGTTCCGGCGGCGCATGACGCGCGCCCGGCTATCACACCTAGGAAGCCCACCCGCGCAATTGACGAAGATGACTACGGCGACGATGACGATGACGATGACGAAGAAGACAGTCAGACCTCACCGCTGCAATCGAAAAGCGCGACCAATGGTGCCGCTGCCGCTGCCGCTTCTGCTGCCGCCACTCCCAACACGCCAAGCCTCCTCCGCGTCCCATCCACATCGAACAAATCCGGCCACGACCGGACAGGCACACCTTCTTCAGACCATACAAAGTCATCAGATGATGTGCGAAAGAAACTACAACAAGACAAGAAGGCCGCCGAGGATGCCGCCAAGCGCAGCTTCCACACCCTTTTTTATACTCTCGAGAGCGACAGGGACGCGATGCTGGAGCAACAAAAGCTTGATGAACTCGACAGACAGGTAGAAGCAGAGACTTCTGGCGCGTCTGCCAATGCTCCAGCTGCCGCTGCCGCTGCTGCCCCCCAGCAGGGGACCTTGAGCACCACCAACCTTGGCGCGTCCAGCTTGACCCTCAAGCACCTCATCTCGCGTATTGATGCCCAAAGAGACCGCGTCCATGCGACGGACGCGCAGCTGCGCAGCCTTATCAGTGAAGTCCGTAAAAACAGAAGCAAATGGGCCAATGAGGATCGTGTTGGCCAGGAGGAGCTATACGAGAGCACAGAGAAGGTTCTCATGGAGCTCAAAGCCAACGAGCATGCCCACCCATTCCTCCAGCGTGTCAACAAGCGGGAAGCCCCCGACTACTACAATATCATCAAGCATCCGATGGATATCGGCACCATGATGAAGAAGCTCAAACAACTGCAATACAAGTCCAAGAAGGAGTTTGTTGATGATCTCATGCTCATATGGTCGAATTGCTTAAAGTACAATGCTGACCCGAGCCATTTTCTGCGCAAGAAGGCTCTACATATGAAGAAAGAGACTGAGAAACTTGTGCCACTCATTCCAGACATCACCGTTCGCGACCGTGCAGAGGTCGAGGCGGAAGAGAGGAGAATGCGTAATGGCGACGCTGATGCAGATGGCGCAGACGACAGTGAAGACGAAGAGCCTATTATGGCTTCGCGGGGCAGAAAAGCCCCAAGTAAAGGAGGCAAAGGCTCAAGCACGACAAGGAAAGCCCATCCAGCAGGCCTGGAGGACACACCAGGACCCGAAACAAAACCACCAGTCCCATCCTTGAACAACGCAGTCTCCAACTTGAAGAATGAGTTCTTACGGGCAGACTCGGAAATGGAAGGTAGCGTCAATGGTTTCTCAACACCCCCACCCGGCACAGCAACCCCATTGGGACCAAACAGTATCTCAAAAAATGGTATCAATGGTAGCCAAGCTGACATCTCAGAGGCTGATGGCACTGGTGTCTCAGTCAGTGATGCTTTGGACGAGGATGCCGACTTGGATGACTTGGAGTACAAAACATGGAAACAAGTAACGAAAAAAGACCGAGCTATCATAGCATCAGAAAGACATCGACTCTTCCGCGATGACCACCTCCAGCCCGATGAGCCAGCCATCCTGCGCACAAAAGCCGGTATGCGGAGATGGTTACGACACAAGAAGCAAGCTATTGAAGAGGAGTCTGCAAACGGAGTAGCCACCGCACTTGACGGCAAAGACGGTGTTCAGACAATTGCTGGAGAGTCGCTTGCCGAAGGTATTGAGGGTGAAGAAGAGCGTCAGATCCCAGACTATTATGATCCCGTATGCGCTATGCCTGACCTTTCCGAGCGTTTACAATGGGTTGAGGACGCCGAGGGTCAAGTGATTCCGCAAGTCGAAGAGTACATGCGCGTCTTCCCAAAAGGACAATTCGTCTCGCCAGACAGTGCACTCGTGCATAAGTTTGACAGTAACAATCACACACTGCAAGAGACAAGGAAGATTTGCGCAAAGATTGGCATTGTCAAACAAATGCAACTTCAGTCCCAGGTAAGATTTCCGTCAATGGACGAAAGGATGTTGATCGCTGACTGTTCGTAGCTGTATCAGAATCAATTTCAAAGATATGAGCCGCAGCCATTCATGGAAGCAGACATCGAGCCAATGGTTACCTCAGAAGATGGTCCAATCATGGCTCCTTATATCTGTCGCGCTGCTCTTCAACGAAGTGTCGGCAAGATATTTTATCATGCTGGCTTCGAAGAGTTCCAGCCCTCGGCTCTGGATGCAGTAACGGATATTGCAGCAAAGTTTTTCCACAATGTTGTTGCAGGCCTTGGGGTCTATCGTGAAACACCAAAGATGAAGTCTCATGCTCCAATCACGCTTCCAAATGGTCAAACTACTAACTGGACTCCGCGCTTTACACAAGAAGAAGCTGTGCTCCACTCTTTGCATGCCAACGGTGTCGATCTGGAGTCTTTGGAGGCTTACGTCAAGGACGACGTCGAAAGACTCGGAACGAAGCTGGCCGGCATGCACGACAGAATGCGGTCATACTATGCCGAGCTTCTGCGGCCAGCAATCGAGAATGCTGGCGCTGACGGCGCTGGTGCTTTCAATGATGGCAGCGAACAGTTTGTAGGAGGTGACTTTGCTGAAGACATCGGCGAGGACTTCTTCGGATTCAAGGAACTCGGCCTTGATGTCGAATTCGGACTTACTGCCAGTGTACCATTGCACCTGCTGCAGAACAGGGTACACAATGCCTATGCTAGACAAGACAACAGGTATGTACTACAGTGTATTTGCATCATGATTCCGCTAACCGTAACAGCAACGTTGCCACTACTGGTGTTATCATGCCTGAGCCACCCAAATTCGAACCCATTACCCTTCAGACAGCGGAGCACCAGATCGGCCTTCTCCAGAGCTGGCTTTACAGCAAGCTTCACGACAACAACAGCCAGCCGCTTGTTGAAGATGACGATCTTCCGCCCAAGCAACGCTTTCCCAAGCCTCGTTTGCCACCTACTGGCAAGATTTCGAGTCCTCGCAAGCGTCCGCTTAGAGAGCAGCAACAGATGGCGCGTAAGAAGCGCAAGCTTGATGAAGAAAAGGATGAGAATGGCAATGATCAGAGTGGTTACATGAAAGGCATTGGGAAGCCTATTGGTAAACTAAAACTTGAACCAGTGCAGAGAGACAACCACAACCTGCAAGAGCCGGAAAAGGAAGATGGCAGCGCACATGGGATGCCGAGTCCACCGGAGTCATTCTAGGAGCAACAAGCCTCTAACAAACTTCGTCGGCTTGATAGGAATTACAGTCTCATCTGGCCATCTCTTTCACAAGGTTTCTTCTTTCTAAAAAAAAATGATGCGATGACTCTGAGGGACAAGAGTTCATGCGTTTTCTTTCGCAATCATTTTACTTTAATCAACCGAGAAAGTTTTTGTTCTTGCTGCTTCCTTCCGATGACGACGAAATTTGGAGACTCATTACGGGTTTATGTCATTGTTCTCTTCTTTTTTTTCAATCTCGCGGTACCATCATCTTATTCTGGGCGTTTTTCTGCTTTCCCCCGTCTTTGTGTGTCTGTGTGTCTTCTTTTTTTCTTCCATATTTTCACAAAGCTGACGAGGACCTGGCTTCGTTGCTGGTCTATCTGAGCGCTTTTTTGTCTTACTAGACTGGGAAAGAGAGCGAGAGAGAGAAACTTTGGGGAGACTTTATGGACCCTGTATACCCATGTTTGCATTTCGCGCTGTGGTGCCCCCCTTTCTGTGAGTGTGTTCACTTGGTTTTCACGTATAGCTTATTTTTGATTACGTCGGGGTGCGTTATGAGAACTTGGATTGAACATATCTATTAGATTCCTGAGAGTGAATATCGTGATGAATGACTACTTTATATGTGTTATTTCAAGGCCTGTCTGATCATGAAAGCGGAGACTTCGGACAGGCGAAGTGACTGTACTTACATGTGTGTTTGCAGGGTTTGATGTTTAGATGCTGACGATCTACGGATATGTTGGAAGTTGAGTGGTGTTTACGTGGACTGTGCCCTTGTGCGTTTGTTAAGTGTTCACGTGTATCGTTTGTCGATCACCTCAGCGGTCAAGACAATATTGGGAGAAGTGGCGACTTGCAGAGCTGCTAGGATGCCTGCTAGGCCAAAGAGAACAAACGAAGACGATAGAGTACTATGGAAAGCTGACAAGCAAAAAACCATAAAAAGTGTAATACCAAGTCCGACTATATTCAGCTGCGCGTTGCCGTAGCTGAACTAATCTAATAGAGTTTGAGTAGCAAGTAAACGAAGTGCAATGTTTGTACGAGTGCATCGCCGAAGAATGATAGTTGTTGTGAACACAACAGCCGCAATGAATTGAAAAAAAATTGGTATTTTATAGACGTGAGATAGAAGGCACGCGAGACATTATAAAATGCAATTCTAGGATACGGGGGAGGGTGCATGCTTCCTTATCAACAAGTCAGAATTATCCTTACCATAATGCAGCTGAAATGCGACTTTAGGGGTTAGTCCGAGAAAGCCACATTATCGAAAGATATAAACAGGGTGTCTGGCGTTTGCAGTGTCTCACCACAAGGAGTGGATCCGGAGGCGATGATATGCCTCGATTCGATAGGTGGCCGAACTGAAATTGGAGGTTGTTATTAGCGCATTGCCTTTTCCCTTGTACGCGGACCCTTCTCTCCGTTACAATTCCACTCCCTCGTCCAGCTCGTCATGCCTGCTGCGAATCAGCTCAACCTAAATTTCCATTGACGTCATTTGCTTTCTTCTGAGCAGCTAAGTTCTGCTGCTTGTTTTCTCGCGCCCCCCGGCGACAACTTGTTGGTTTTGAGCTAACGTGCCACGAGGCGTGGATCATCTCGGATGGGACTTGGGACCTGGACTTTCTTTCTTCACGACACCGACTTTCCACTCCACATTCATCAATTGCGCGCGCAAACCCGCGCGCGCTCATTTCATACTTTCAGTCGCCCGGATTTCTTACTGCGCATTTTTTGCTCAGCGCCACTCATTCACACCCACTTTCCTTAATCTGTCCTTGCAGTTTTCCATTTGTTGCCCAACCTCTACTATCTCTCCGACTTTTTTCTCCGCATCATCATGGCGCCCAACGGTCATTTGGCTTCTGCCAAGAAGGGCACTCGTAAGTCTCGCGATGCTCAGTCCTCATCGTGGATGGACAAGCATGGCTTCGAGGAGTACGAGGCCTGGAAAGAAGCAAATCCCGACACTCGCCTTCCCTACGATGACTGGAGGCAGTCGAATCAACATGCCAGCGGCCTCTCGCTGTACTATACGACTTTGCGCATTTTTGAAGAGTCGGATTCGAGTGTGCGTCAAATCTCATCATCGAGTTCATTTTTTGATGTTTGCTAACAACACCAGGACGAAAATGGTCAGCCAGTCAAAGCTAAACCTCAACCCACCAAACCACGTGGTCAGGTTGGCCGTCCTAGGAAATCAGCAGCCATGAATGGCAATGGACAACCGCGTTCGGCTGGAACCGCAACGCCGTCCAAGGCCGGCAACTTAGAAGACTCAAGTCCCTCTGCCAAGAAAAAGCGAAAGGCACGAAAGAAGCCACTTGTACGTATTATCCACGCATCATGCTCAAAATTGCTAATTTTGTCAGTCGGAGGAGATTATCGCATCAGCGAGTGATAGTGATGACGCTGCCAAAGACCCTGAAACCTCAACACCGGGAGCTGAGACTGCAACACCCGCGGCTCCTACCATTACCATTACCATGAATGGCAAACGCAAGACTTCTACTCGTAAGGCTAGGAAAAAGCCTATTGTGAGTGTGAATGTGCACCTCACTTTCGTTCACTAACGCGCGTGCAGTCGGAAGAAACTATCTCGCCTGAGGACGAGCTCGACGATCCAATGGATATCACGATCGATGAGGTTACGAAGTCCACGATCGCGTCTCCGTTACCTGTCCGTTCTGGTATGTGTTGCACAAAACCATATGTGAAACTTTGTACTCCACATTGTAATGCGCTGCCGCCTATTCACCTCGGACCCTCAGCCACCGTTTTTCCATGACAGCGGACTTTCAGATTCCGATTATCTTGATTTTTATGCTCCGGAAAAATGGTTGACTAGTTTACAGCTCCGAAGTCTCCAGTCACAGCACCAGCTACAAATCCGCCCAAGAAAAGTCATATCCTCAAGCTCAGCACAAGAAAGACACCAAAGAAGCAGGAACTTGTACGTTTGATTCTAGGACCGTCGATTTGTTACTAACAAGTCAAAGTCCGAGGAAACTGTGACAGAGGACGTTGGTGAGGCCAATGCTTCTTTGCAAGCGACACCCAGCACGTTTGGCAAGGGTACCCAGCCGAGAATTTCTATTCATACAGACGCCACACCCAAATCAAATGGCGATCCAGATTCTGCTACTGCTTCGCCTGTTTCGACAAGCGCACCGAGCTCAACCCGACGCGGCCTGCGCACTCGCAAGCCTGCTCAACAGAGGCCTTACTACCATGATTCACAGCTGTTTGAGGATGTAGAGCCAGGTAACGTCGATGCCCATGACCAAGAGACTATGTCATCTCCTATCGTACAGAGCAGAAGAGTATCCATTGCGTCGCTTAGCAGGAATGTTGACGACGCACTACTGGCCTCGCTGGACGAAGAAGCCATGGCGCTGCTACAAGAAGAGGCCGAGTCAGAACCCACCAAACCAAAACACTTCAAGGGAAAGGGACGCGCTTGGAAGAAAGAAGGTTCGGATGAAGACGAGGACTATTCGCTTGCTGCGAAGAAGAAGGCAGCAAAGGCAGCGAAGATGAAGGCAAAGGGCCAGGTGCCCAAGAAGCGGGGTCGGCCAAGGAAGAGCGGACGTTCTGAGGAGCTTGTTGGTGAAGATACTGACGAGGACAAAGAGAATATAAAACGGAAGAAGCCTCTTCCACGCAAGAGCGCATTGTCTGAGGAGATTATACAGGATAGTTCGGATGGCGGAGAGGGGGACAAGGAGGAGAGGACTATCGTAGAAGAGGGTTCGGTACAAACAGAGAACACGGCTGAGCAAGAACACAATATTGAGGAAGAAAATAGACTCGAGGAAGATAATGGCGAAAAAGAGGAAACCGCAGAGAAAGAGGAGGTACCAGTGGGGAACAAGACCATTGTCGAAGACGAGGCGAAGGTCGGGCAAGAAGAAGAGCAGAAGACAGAACAAGAAGAGCAGGAAAAAGAAGTAGTGACGGTTGAAACGGAGGCGAGGGTTGAGGGAGTTGACCACGAGGAAACCGAAGAAAAGGTAGCAGAGGAGAAGAAAGATGAAGAGGTGCAGAAGGAGGAAGGAAAAGAGCAGAAAGAAGAAGCTCCAGTGGCTCCAGCCAGCCCGCAAGACCGATCATGGACACCCGAAGGTCTACCAAACCCCACACTTCTACCTAACGACCACGGAAAAGACGAGCCGGCTTCCAAGATAGACGATGAGCAGGAGAGAGCTAGTCCTTTCCGAAAAAGCTGATTGAGGTATTTCTCAACGGCCTTTTTGTAAGTGACCAACCACTCTCAGCACGTGTCAATATCAGATTGCTAAGACGGCAAATTCAGAATATGTTTTCACAGTTGTCGAGTTCAGACACTCACTTTATTTTCCTTTGTCAATTCCCAAAGAAATAGAATATTGGTTTTTTTGAAGGATGGTTACGATTGTATTGCTGAGTAGTCTAATAAAGTTGCGTCCCCTGGTTCTCTTTGTTGGGATGATTGCATGCAAAATAGGATTGAGGAAATGTAGCACTTGGACGTCTGTAATAACACGTTTGAAGCTGGTAATAGATTTATGTTGTTTGCAGTTTTTTTTGTTCATGGACACAGGTGTGATGCTTGCTGCCTTGTAAAGTGACAATGTGTGAAAGGGAAAATACAAGAGATTTTGCATGGCTGATACTTTTATCTCACCTTCAAAACCTCACCCCCCTCAACTTCGCAAAATAATACAAAAGCCCAAAAGCCAAACCCCCCAAATGTCCCCCATGCGCAATCGTCGTATTCGCACTATTAACGAAATACCCATCATACACTGCGTAACCTGCAACCAGTCCCCAAAGCGGCACAGGCACAATCCCATAAATCAGCACTTTGGCATGCGGCGCCAAACAAGCCGCCACACTACTAACTCCCATGACGACGCCTGAAAACCCCATTCCCCTCACGGTATCGCGAGCGCGGGGGCCCTGGTCCCTCATCTTATAATACCTCGAAATCAAGTACCCCAGCCCCCCAGACAAGCCCGATCCCAATGCCACCGTCAAAAACCTCGCTGGCGTAATGAGCGGCGCAGCAGATGCCAGGAACTGACCGAGGAAATAAAACGTAAACATATTGGAGAAGAGATGGAATGCATTCACATGCGTAAAATTCGCCAGGAGAACGGGTAGGTAACTTCCGGTTTTGAATTCTGAGAAATTTAGGGTCCAGGTCCTGAGGAAGCGGTGCCAGGGTCCGGGGAAGCCTTGGGCGGCTTGCTGCTGGAGGTACATGGCATAGCTGAAGACGGCGATGTTGGTGCCCATGAGGGTGTAGAGGACTTTGGTGTTGGCGCTTACTCGGGATTCATAGGAGGGGCGGGGGTTGCGGTAGGAGTAGTGCCGGAAACGGGGGAGGTTGAGGGAGTGGGGTGGCGGTCGGGATGGGGAGAAGAAGGCGGGGGGTTTGGTGGTGGGGTGGGAGGTGCGGAGAGCGCGGAGGGCGGTTGAGAGGCGGAGGAGGGATGACATAGTGGGTTTTGGGGATTATCTGGGTGTTGGATGGTGTTTGGAGTGTTTGGAGTAGTCCAGTTAGAGAAGCGGTCCAGATGGCAAAGTCCAAATGTTTGGAGTTGATGCTCCTCCAGATAAGTGCAGTCCCGTAGAAACGTCGAGATTCCTATCGTACTTTTATCTTACATGTTAGATTATGCTTCATAGAATAAATTCCGAGATATCTTGCTCACGTGCGTTTTGGTATATCAGAGGAAATGTAATATTGGTCTAATCCAGATGCGGCGTTGCACAGGAAACCGGTGAGTCTGTCCCAATACTATGTATTATCGTACACGAGGCCGCGCCCAGTGAGGCAGCCCAGATAGGAGGGCTACAAGGAGTGAATTGAAATACAAGTGAAATAAGGACTTTACTTACAAAGCTTGTCACAGTCAAGGCAGCGACGTCAGAAAGCCCAATGACAAGCACGCACGGACCGTTGCCCTCCCCCATCTTCAAGTTCCTTCTTGCATAAAGCGGCCCGCTCAGCTACACCACCACCACACAAACCACCCGTCGCCCACCCAAAATTGCACTCCCGCTCTTGCGCTCAACCTCCAAAGGCTCTCGTTGCCTCCGACCCACCGTAGCACTACTCGCGAAAACCTGCACCTACACATACACATCGCCATTCGCACCACGTACAGGCGAAACACCAATACTGCGACTATCTCTCTTGGGGTTCATTCGGCTTCCTCGACGCAGCAAACGTACCACCAAACATCTGAATTCGCGTCTCTATTAGTCACGAGACCTGATCATTCCTCCAGCTTGCCGGCCCCCACTCTCTTCGGCATACACGATACGAGCTTCCACTTGAAAGCCCCCCACTTCAGCCCGTGCTCCATTCATAACTTGCGAACCTTGACGTCTTGATCAGCGACCCCACCTCCGGTGGACTCTACACATACACAATGACTTCAGAAATCACGAACCAACTAGCGGCAACGCAGCTGAGGTGAGTCGGCCGAGAGTGAGTGAGAGGCTACAAGCACACGTGCTGACACGTCTAGCGATGCCACACCGTCAGGAGAGGCCAATTGGAAGGCTGGACTGAACGCGCCTGTAAAGGATGCGCGACCACAAACAGAGGTACGATATGCTCGCACACGGAATGCGGGGAAAAACATACTAACACGCGCGTAGGATGTTACTGCTACCAAGGGACTTGAATTCGAAGACTTCTTTATCAAGCGCGAGCTGATGATGGGCATCTTCGAGGCTGGCTTCGAGAAGCCGTCGCCCATTCAAGAAGAGACTATCCCTGTAGCACTTACCGGCCGAGATATCCTTGCACGAGCGAAGAACGGTACTGGAAAGACTGCTGCCTTTGTCATCCCCACCCTCGAGCGCGTAAACCCTAAGAGCCCAAAGACACAAGCCCTCATCCTCGTACCCACCCGAGAACTCGCCCTACAAACCTCTCAGGTATGCAAGCAGCTGGGAAAACACCTTGGAATCAATGTCATGGTCTCGACCGGTGGTACGGGTCTCAAAGACGACATCATACGATTAAACGATCCTGTCCACATCATTGTTGGAACACCAGGTAGGATTCTGGATTTGGCTGGCAAGGGCGTAGCAGACCTTTCAGCTTGCCAGACCTTTGTCATGGATGAGGCCGACAAGCTTCTTTCTCCTGAGTTCACCCCGGTTGTGGAGCAGCTGCTTGGCTTCCACCCCAAAGACAGACAGGTCATGCTCTTCAGTGCCACCTTCCCCATTGTCGTGAAGAGCTTTAAGGTATGTTTCATGACGCTCCAGCCGTGACAACCCTACTGACACAGCCCAGGACAAGCACATGAACTCCCCGTACGAGATCAACCTAATGGACGAGCTCACACTTCGTGGTATCACGCAGTACTACGCTTTCGTTGAAGAGAAGCAGAAGGTCCACTGCTTGAACACCCTCTTCAACAAGCTCCAGATCAACCAGTCTATCATCTTCTGTAACTCTACGAACCGAGTCGAGCTCCTCGCTAAGAAGATTACCGAACTCGGCTACTCGTGTTTCTACTCGCATGCTCGTATGCTCCAGCACAACCGTAACCGCGTTTTCCACGACTTCCGTAATGGTGTATGCCGAAACCTTGTCTGCTCCGACTTGCTCACCCGTGGTATCGATATCCAAGCAGTCAACGTTGTAATCAACTTTGACTTTCCCAAGAACGCAGAGACGTATCTGCATCGTATTGGTCGTTCTGGTCGTTTTGGACACCTGGGTCTGGCTATTAACCTGATCAACTGGGAAGACCGTTTCAACCTGTATAGGATCGAACAAGAACTTGGTACTGAGATTCAGCCCATTCCTCAGGTCATTGAGAAGAACCTCTACGTTTATGAGTCGCCCGAGTCGATCCCTCGTCCTATGTCTAATCAACCGCGTGCTCCTGCTCAGATCCAGCAACAAGAACAGGAAGGTGCTGCACGCGGAAACCCCAACGCCCGTGGCGGCTTCCGCGGTGGACGCGGCGGCGGCGGTGGGTTCCAGGGACAACGTCGAGGACCTCCACAGAACCAGCAGAACCGTCAACAGAATGGCCAGAACACTCAGCGGAATCCTAGGCCGCAGCCCGCAAACCCACCACAGGCCTCGTAAGGCCGGCTGCCGCTTCTGGCGGGACTTGGCCATTGGAGTAGTCTTTTGGTTTCAACAACTGGTGCATTTTCCATGTCGCAACTTCTTCCTGCTCGGGGGCCGCAACAGCACTTGGCGGTGTCATTTGCACATACATATTCTGGCGTTTTTCATTTGTATGCAATTATGCAAGCAGCCGCTGACGACACGATACGGGACACCTGGACTTTTCTTTCTCAGGTACCACGAATCGGATCATTGGCGCAATACGGTTTTAACGATCTGGACCATCTTCTATGTACTATATCAAGGGTTGCCTGGGTCGTAACTGTTTTCTGCTTTTTGTCGGTCGGCTGGTCTTGCCGACTTACTTTCTTGAGACGCTTTGTCTCCGCCTTGTCTCCGGTACATCTCAACGGTTTTCGTCTACTGCATCATCTAGTTTTCCCTTCGTCCTCATTTCCGTTCTCTACCCAGCACCATCGGCGGTTGGTATAGTCTTTCCAAAAGCTCGGATCCTTTCTTTATCCAGGATTACAGTTAGTACGATCGTCTTTTGTTCGACCCTGCCCTGTTTTCGATGGCTACTCGATATCTGTAGCCCTTCTCTTGCTACAGGTCGCTTCTCCCCACCATATCCTTTTAACGTCATCGGCCCTGGACACATGCTATTTGTTCAAGGCTGAGCACACCTCTACACTCGATCCGACCCGATACGTTACATGTTGACTTGCATGTCATTTGTTATGGAAATTTCGCAGTTCCTCTCCCTCCTCCAGGAACTGCACCCAACGAGCGCTACGAATTGGCTCATTTCAAAGTTGGTCATCTTCTTGTTGGCACTGCCAGCGAGAGAACCTGACTAGTCTGGGGGTTGTCTTCAAACTGCGTTGGAGTCGGTATGTCGTATTATGGACATACTGCATGAATCAACGTATGCTTTGTGCGAACACAACTATAACGTGGATCTTGGAAGACTCTCCCCGGTAGAAGGAAAAAACAACAAAAACCTCGTGTCTATATGATACTCAATAGTAAAATTTTAAAAAAAGCCTTTTGCGGGCCCGGCTGGAAAAGATGGGATTACGAGCATGACGACTGGCGTCATGGTATGACTGCTGTTGAGAGCAATCAAGCAACAATGATTGCCTGACATGGTATCTAAATGAGCTCGAAGCTAGTCTATACATCTTTTCCAATGCAAACATCTCTTCCCTCAATTCTATGATGTTACTTTTTGACCTTCGTGACCTCTATAGCCTCTTATTTAATCTGTCCAACAATACTACTCACCATGACAGCAGCCTCTCTCTCCAAAGTCACTGTCGCATTACTACTACTACCTGCACCCTTTGCCAAATTACTATTCCCAGGAAACTGACTCCCCCGATTCACACACTCCCTCACCAACTCTCTAACCTTCTCCTTGTTACTCTTCAGCATCCGCGCAGACACTCCCCCTCTATTCATCAAATCCTGCACTCTCGGCGCCATATTGGACGCCAGTGTACGCCAGAAATAGCTAGGAAGGGACGACGTATCTAGCGCTTGGAGTAAGGGTTGTAGTAAATTCGTTTGCTGCTGCAGTGGCGCGGGCAGAAGGGGATGCGCCGGTGTCTTTATCGACTCCAAAAGCGACTGCAGCGCAACTATATTCTGACATCTCGCTGATATCTCGAGCAACGCGCGGTCGAGAGACGGGAGTTGAGCTAGAGCGCGGGCGAGCGAGGCGAGCGAGGATTTGAGTTGGGTTTGGACGTGATCTTGGAGTGCGGTGAGCATAAGACTTGGCTCGAAGTTCTTGGTGGACGAGGATGATGGTAAAGGGGATAACAAGTAGAGGGTCTGCAAAGCGGAAGTCGTGCGGGCTTTTGTGTCTTCGTTTTGGGAAAAGGTGGATGCGGAAGAAGCAGCAGCAGCAGAGAAGGAAAGTAGGGAGGACATTGAGAATTCCTTGATTACTTGGTTGGCGCGCGAGGCGATGCTGCGTTCACCTGGGATTACGAGTTCGGCTTTTAGAGTGCTGATTGCGTTGATGCGGTCGAGACCTTCGCCTTCTTCCCCTGGTTTCGAGGCAGAGAGAATCTGGCGGAGGGAGAGAATAGTGTCGGTAGAGCGCACCATGGCTCGGTGGTCTTCCTTCTTCGCGCTGCCTACGCCGCCCAGCTCTGCCATGCGGACTTCGAGTTGGCGGCCGAGCATCAGACAGCGGGCTACTGCACGCCCCAGCTTGACCGTCTCGCATAGTCGTTCGGCAGTGAGTTGGACCTGGGCGGCGACTTCGTACCGCTCAATGACTTCCTTTTCCAGCGTGCGGTACGACTCGGTCAGACTGGCGACTTGGCCTTCCACCTCGTGCAGGATGCGCGCACTCGAGTCTGCATGTTCGCGCGTGTGTTCTAGCAGCGGCCATGCCGACTTGGTCGTAAGCGTGTCAATGTGTGTGTCGACTTCCTGGACATCGAAAAGAACGCGCGACAGCGGTGTCGACAGGTCTAGCGGGGTGTCGGAGGGGTTGTTAGTCGAGAGGACGAGCGTGTTGGCAAAGGACGTTGCCGAAAAGTCTGGGTCGAGAAAGGCTTCATAATCGATGTATGAGGGTTCGGCGTCGTCTTTGGACATGGCGGCAGCTAAAGAAGAGTCCCGTGCCGGGCGCAATGGAATGAATGGCTTGCTGGTGAGAGAGCTGCGACAGGGATGCTTATCTTAGCGTGCTGGTGCTCTAGGTATCACGTACAACTACCCAGCATCACCATGCTAACCAAGTAGCCAATCGCTTGACCTCAATACTCCGACCTCTACCAAGCTCGGATCTCACCAGGAAATTGACCAATCTCAAATTCTTACAACGAATGCTCAATTGGGACATGCTCATCTAAGGGTTGTACAAACGCTTTGACGTTGGCACCGTATCCATTGATTTGACACATTGAAATCGCTATGCTAAAAAGGGGACATGAACACCAAAAGCGCCTCCAAGGTATACAGCACCGCCTTTCATCCCATAAAAAAACGTTGTATTAAGCGCCTTCACTTCCAAACTCCTTGGTCCATTCAGCACTGCGCTGCAGATCTTCACCACTAACCGTCGGTCTTGAAGCCTTGATGGCCTTGATGAAGTCCTTGACCTTGAGAGGTGGCTCGAGCAACTGGTCGCCATCGAGATCTGTCCATGATTTCTCATGCGCTTGTGGGTCGCCAGGAGAACAGGGTGTCCATTTCGTTTGGCCATCGACTTCGACGGGCTTGTAGTGTGTTGCCGTCTGAATCAGACGTACAGGCTGCATGAGCGCGTCCTGCACTGCAATGGAAATGTCGGAACCAGAATATCCCTCGCTAAGCTCTGCCAGCTTCCTGTAGTCTGCCTGGTTCAGTTCGCAGGGTGTGTTTCCGACCGCAAGTTCAAACATCTTCATGCGCGCAGGAAGATCTGGTAAGCTAATGTGTACTCGTCGTTGGAATCGTCGCCGGATAGCAGAATCGAGCTGCCATGGAATGTTTGTTGCTCCAAGGATGAGCACACCTTTTGAGTCTTTGCCTACACCATCCATCTGTACCAGCAACTCAGTCTTAATACGTCTTGAGGCCTCTGATTCGCCTTCTCCACGGGGACCACAGAGAGCATCGATTTCGTCTATGAAGATGATTGAGGGCTTGTTCTCGCGTGCCATGCCGAAGAGTTGCTTAACAAGACTGAAGATATGTTAGTCGTGCGCCTTGTATAATGAGACTCATTGTGACTTGCCGTTCTGATTCACCCATCCACTTGCTCACAAGATCCGAACTGGATACACTGAAAAAGGTACTGTTCGCTTCGGTCGCAACAGCTTTTGCCAAATAACTTTTACCGGTACCAGGTGGCCCATACAGCAATATACCTTTCCATGGTTGCCTCTTTCCGGTGAAGAGATGTGGAAACTTGATGGGTAATATGACAGCCTCCTTGAGTGCTTCTTTTGCCGCTTCGAGACCAGCTACATCCTCCCACCGAATGTTGGGTTTCTCAGAAAGGATAGCGCCCGCAAGCGCACCACGGAGCTTCTTAGAGTCAGCGTCCTGTTCGCCTTCGTCGTCGTCACTGTCACATGTTAGCATGATGACACTTTAGCTTTGTGTTTGCAGTTGTCAATACCCTCCGCCCTTGCCACTACCGCCTGCTGACTTGCCATTCGAACCCATGGCTGCTGGTTTCTTGCGATTCGAGGCGTCGTTCTGATTCAGATGCTGCTTGAGCTTTTCGGCGCGCTCCATGTATTCGGCGACCTTGCCACGAATCATTTCCTTGGACTTTTGGTTCTTTTCCCATTTTAGAGCCAGCATAAAGAGCTCCACTAGCACTCATCAGTATGCGAGGTACTCAGGCTACATTCTGTATCACTAACAGGCGCTGTAGTATAGCTGGTAGGCCTTTTCATATTCACCCGCTGTATCAGTCTCAATGGCCTTCTTGACCGTTTCGATGGCCCGACCGAGGAAATCCGCATTGCTCATGGCTGGTAACGTGGGCGTGAACCGTGCTCAAGGACGTTGTTGTGGGTGGGCGCGTTTGTGTACAGTCGAGAGCAGGCAGGTGGGGCACGCACGAGCCGTTGAAGACGGTATATTTGGGCGCACACGGCGGGTAGTATGAGGTCCCAGGACTTTTTGCGGAACTCGACAGAGTAAATTTGGCGAGGGATTGCTTGTGGTAGGCTGTTGTCGCAGGCAGCGGGCGTGGAGAAGACCGTCAAGTTGCCATAGCCCATGGCCATGGCCAAGGCCAAGGCACCTAGCCCGCCCCGCGTTACTTCTAACCGCTTTGGGAAAGTTTGTTCTCCCACTTGCGACCTGCGAGCATACGATACCGAACTCTCAGTCAAGCCTTACTCAGCATCACAAACGCCATGGCAGAAGTACAACGGAAGCTGCAGGAACTTTCCGAAAAGTACCAAAGCCTCCAAGCGGGTAAGCAATTGTTGCTGGCCATAGTAGAGTGACTGCTAAAGTCGGAATAGATCTCGGAACCAAAGTTGAGGCACGCCAAAAACTCGAGTCGCAACAACAGGAGAACAGCACCGTCAAGAAGGTAGCCGGTCAAGATGCACGCATGTTCGATATACGCTGAGACGCTCTACCGCAGGAATTCGACATCCTCGACGACGATGCCAACATCTACAAGCAGATCGGCCCGGTGCTGTTGAAGCAGGACAAGACAGAGGCAGTCATGGCAGTGAATGGACGTCTGGAATTCATTGACAAGCAGATGTAAGTCTGACTTGCAGTTGGCGGGGAGCTATGATGTTGACAGGCAGCAGCAAGGACATTGAGAAGCAGATCCAGGGTATACAGGAAAACAGCGAGAAGATCAAGGGCGAGGTGCGTTGGTTCGATACTGATATCCAGGGTAGGCAGGCTGACTTGCCGACTAGATTATCCAGATCCAGACTGCGGCGCAGCAATCACAAGCAGCAGCGTCATAAGAGGATTTGCTACAAGACGAGAGAAATCAATGAGATACCCAATTCACTCGACTTGCTTGGATCCTGCCGCCTGCGCTACATTGTCGTGAAGGGCCAAAGCCAAGGCCGATGCTGACGACTCGGGCTTCATATAGACTCCAAACTCTAAGCCCTGACCGCTGACATGCACAAGCGCAACAACATGTCCCTTGCAAACGGCCTGGGAAATGAATTGATGAGCAAGATGTCAATGTAGAAGTGTGGCATGGGCACGACAGTCTGGCTACATAGATAGGGAATATCTAGTACACACAGCTAGGAGTGCCAGCTATGAACGCCAAGCCGTGGTTACCCTGAGGGTTTATGCATACAGGACAGCATTTGATGTCAATATAAGGATTTATCGATTTTTGCACGAGTCGACGCTTCTTTTGGCACGACTCGAATCATGCACGTGGTCTGGCCGAGTGCTGGGTGCAGGTGGGTGGTATTTGCCGGGATCCCCGGAACAGGCAAGCAGCGGGTAAGGTAAGCCGTGTCGGGTCTACAAGCTAGGCGAGTGCTCCTGCAATAACAAAATACGACGTCGTCGGAACGGCCAAGTTATGTAGTTATTGGGGGCGCCGAAGGAAGTTGGCCCCTCGAGCCATGATACTGGCTAGGCATTGATTGCAGGCGGCGCATGAACAGCCAGTCCGGAGCATTTCCTTTTGTTTGCCGGAGCGTTTGATGGGTCCACCCGCGCAGGCGTTAGCAATGGGAGGCGCGGCAGGGCTCAGCACCATGTTACAGAAGGCTTGCGGATCGTGCCCTTTTGTTTTTATTTTATGCCTCGCAGGAGAACACAGACATGCGATGCCGGGCGGAAACTGACAGCGGAACCAGCCGTGGGGTCTCTGATGAGGCACTACCTACTTTCACCATGGCAATTGTGTTTGGCCGGTACTCGAGACGACGAGGGCATGGTACCGTGGCTGATGATTATTGTTGGTTGGTTGGTTGGTTGGTTGGTTGGGCGGCGTGCCGGGGATGCGGAGGCGTGGTGGTATGTACTTGGTTACTAGGTACATACAACACACATGCACACGGGGATTCGCACGCACAGGCACGCGCCCTCGCCTCAGGGCGCCCGAGCAGGCAAAGACAGGCGGACAAGCTTTTGGAGCATGATGGCCGTGGAGGCTTCCACTCCCAAAGACCACCTGGCTCCACCAGGTATTCGCATCATCTGTAACAGCTGAGGACTAGCGCTGGGCCAGTCGTGCCGTTGCTTCAGTCTTGCGCAGGGTGCCGTGATTGGCTGCACGCTAACGAACCAACGCCTTTTGGAGTCCTGACAAGAGTTCACTGTCCCCTTCTTTACCTCTGGCAGTGACCTTCTTCCGCTGGTCTGCCTCCTTATCGCGGACCTTTTCCCTTCTTTGTTGCTGGATATATTACCCGCTCTCTTCTTATAGCGCTGCTTGCCCGTCCCCTCTTGCACAGCGCTCCCCTCGCCTTCGCCTGCGCCTATCAGCCCTTCCGCGATCCTGTCTCTCCCCTGACACTTCGCACCTCGAGCTCTCTCCTTTGAGGTACAGCTGGGACTGCAGGAGACACTCGTGTGCATCCATTACTTCTCCCTTGAGACGGTGAATTCCATCCGTCGACACTGTACGTCCCATCTCGATGGCCCGCACCCTCTCGTATTCGCCTTGCTCACTGTCAGCCCAGAATTTCAACCCACCAACTGCCCGCCACGGTCAACCACTACCGCCATCATGTCTGCGAGCCACATCGCCGCCAACAGGAACAGCACTCCCGAGGGCTCCTCCTCCCTACGCCCGCCCCAGGCCCGCTCTTCGCTCGGTGCGAACCACCATCTCCGCGCCTCAGCTGATCTAGGCGGCTTCCCCTCGCCTTTGGCCAACCGCGGCATTCGCCCCGCCTCCGAGATCTACTTTGGCCGCAACAACACTCAGTCTGGCAACCCAGACGAGATGGAGCGTGCTGCCCAACAGTGGCTTGCCGACATTGACCAGTATGAGACTACGCTCGAAGAGATGGCGACAGCCACACTCGATCAGGACTTCAAGGACGAGTTGAGCGCCATCGAGCAGTGGTTTCGCGTTCTTAGCGAGGCGGAGAGGACCGCTGCTCTCTACGCCCTCCTGCAGCAGACAACCCAGGTTCAGATTAGATTCTTTATCCAGGTTCTGCAGCAAATGTCCAAGAACGTGCCCATGTCTGGAGTACTTTCACCTGCCAACTTTGGAGAAAAGGGTAAGAATTTCTAGTCCTTTTCTTCGATGCTTTCCTATCCTGACACGTGCTAGATCCAATGACGCAGAAACTGAGCGATGCCATGAGCAAGCTCAACACGGGCGAAAACCGCCATTCCATGGGCCTCGGTCGCCCCCCGCCATCCCCGGGTGCTGGAAAACGCAACTCGGGCTTGGAAACTTCCACCATCAACCGCATGTTCCCAGATGCGGCCGCAGCTATTGCTAAGCAGAAGGCTGAATTCACCGATGTTGTAGGCGTTGCACCGGCGTCAAACCGCAACAGCACTGTCGGCGACCGCAGCTCAATGGCAGCTCCCACCATCTCTGCCCCTGAGGACAACAAAAGGGAGAACAATGCCCCGCCGGCATCTCCCTGGAATGAAGGCGCAAACCGTCCAAAGTCCTCTGGCCAGCAGCAGCAACAGCAGCAACCGCCCATGGGCCAGTTTTCGCAGCCCCCTCCATCTGCCGGTCTTCGATCCCCTCGTCTTCCCCTCCAGAATGATAGCAATAATGTGCAGACTACTACTCTGAATGCTCTCGAGGCAAACTCCAACATGCCACTCCTTTCGCCTTCTTACCAGCCAGGTGGCAGCTGGGCGTCGCAGCTGAGCACCCCCATGGTCGCCAACTTTAGCCAGTCCAACAACCAAGCCGATATGGTTGCCAATGCCACAGCTATGAAGCTTGCTGCACTCTCTACTGTTAACAACCGTATTCAGTTGGACGATGTGCGCAAGTTCCGTCGCGCTCGCTCATCAGACAACGGTCCTATATCGCCTGGTATGCCTCAAATGGGCAATGGAAACATTCTCATGACAAACGAGATGGGCCAGGTCTTGACTCCCCAGCAAGCGGCTGCTCTGCAGGCCCAACAGTTGGCTGCCATGAACGGCCGTCGATCTCGACCCAGCTCTCCTGGGTTCGCAATGCAGGGCCAGGGTATGGGTATGGGCGCCATGGGTAGCTTCACGTCTCCCCAGGCCAATGGTTTCCTAGCTGCTGACTATGGAGGTGGAATGATGAACAACGGCATGGGTGCACTTAACCTTGCTCAGTTTGGATTGGGTAGCGGAGGCAACAATGACGGCCACGGCTTCCTCGGTGAAAACATTGACCGTGGTCGATCTCCCCGAGGTCGCCGCGGCAGCTCCAAGCCCCCGGAAGACCCTACCGACCCTGGTCTACTCTCGGATATTCCCAACTGGCTCCGGAGTCTCCGGTTGCACAAGTACACGGATAACCTCAAAGACCTCAAATGGCAGGAGCTCATTGAGCTTGACGACGAAGGTTTGGAGAAGCGCGGAGTTAACGCTCTTGGCGCGCGTAGGAAGATGTTGAAGGTATGAAAGGCCCCATTCGTTCCATAAGCCCTTGAAGCTAACACAAGATTACAGGTTTTCGAGCAGGTGAAAGAAGCTCAGGAACAGGGCAAATTGCGATAGATCCGCGACCTGTACCTCCGGACTCGCACACGCGAACGAGTTCATCTCAAAACATAGATATACGATGGAAAAGCGGCGACCTCCAGCTGGCACGGATGCAAATCCGTCAGGTCTGGGAACGCATACGATGACATGCTTTATGCTCTGAGACCCCATTTGGATGTTGTGTTGGCCCATCGTATGTCGAAGGCTGGCTTCCACTGCAGTTTCTTTTTTGTACAAATGTATTAGTGTGGTTTTCTATTGTAAGGTTAGGTTAGAACAGGCTGGGCAACGGCAAAAAATTAATGACGCCATTACGCGCTTTCTGCAAGACGAATCGTGTTCAGCGTAAGCATCTAAACACTCGTTCAACGTATTTCATGTCGTTACTTTTGCGTAAGCGTGAGATTGTTTGGGAAAATGCGGCCCCGACTGTCATCCGACAGTTACCGACAAGGCAACTATGACCACATCTGACACTCAGGTCAGCCTTACAGCTCCCTTTCACTTGGCAATAACAGCACTCAATTAACGCATATGAACACCCAAGAAACATCACCCCTGCACTGCATAAAACGTCAGCCTCAGCACCTCCAGCCAAGTGATTTTCCCATTTACTCCGTCACACCATTGACCTTTGATGGATCAACCATCGGCCGAAAAGCGTATTGAGCGGGTTGTACTAGCATGTGTTCAATGCCGTAACAGACACGTCAAGTGCGGTGCCGAGCAGCCTGTATGCAAAAGATGCAAGCGCGATGGAAAAGAATGCGTTTACCAGAAGTCACGAAGAGGAGGGCTAGATAAAGCAGCCCTTGCAGCACGACGGCTACGATTGCAACAAGAAGCTGAAAGCGCGCGGCGCAACACACCCGCTTCTCACTGCAGTGAAGGTTCCGAGCAGCACCTACCAACAGACTCAACACGCGCTCAGTCGTCGCTAAATCTCTTTTCGGATAACATAACAGACGAGACGTTATCGCTCGCCGCATCACAGCTTCTTGAGCAAAATCATGTGATGTTCCAGATCGACAACGATCGCCTTGTCGAACTGTATTTCGAAAACTTCTGGCCTTCATTTCCCATCGTTTTACCGTACTCCTATCTGCAAACCAGGCGCCTGAAAGCGAATCATGGCATGCCAGTCTTGTTGCTCGTCTTGCAATGGATCGGCTCATTTTACGCACCCTGGGTGCCATCAGAGCCTTATCGTGAAGCAGCTCTCAAGGCAGTTGCTTCACCCACGCTTGAACGCACGCCATTCAACATCCAATCACTGATGTTATTTGCAATCGCAGAGTTTTACTGCAATCTCAAGGGCCCGGCTCGCGAGAGGCTAGAAATAGCTGTTACCCTTGCCTTGGAACTTTCCATGAACGAAAGGGACTTTGCCCACGCGTATGGTGAAGGCGACACTGTGCTGGAGGAGTCATGGAGGAGAACATATTATATGCTCTATATTGTGGATCAGCACTTTGCTATAATCACTAACACACCCTTCCACTTGTTACTAGCAGTACCAAACAATGTGGACTTGCCTTGTGATGACGAGTACTACAAATCTGGGGTATGTTATATCAACATGCTTAGAATTGTTCAAGTAGTAACATGGTTAGCAAATCCCTCCCGTGTCAACATGGGCCGAGTATCAGCTCCGCGAGTTCGCAGAGATTGAGGTAGTGTATTCTTCAATTACTTACCTATATGATTCTGCCATGGTTGTCGCATTCAGTAAGTTCGAGCAGAAAATGCAGTGTTGGGATAGGACATCGTATTGACCATACTAGTCATGAACACGTTTATCCATACCGCTGTGATAAACGAAGCTCTTGTTGAGAGTTGCGATACCAAACTTGCTATCTGGACGTCTTTGCTACCATCCTGTAAGAAGGACCCACTTCGTGCCAACGGCGAGGTGGATGAGATCATGTATGTCGAGGAAATTCGTGTTGTTAGCCTAGAATGCTTGCTGATCATTTTCTTTCCGCAGGTTCATGGCGCATATGGGTACCGCCATGTAAGTGTTCATTCTCCGCTTTCTGAAATGACGTTGACATGATCACAGCACAATGTCGACAATTCATCGGCCTTACTCGTCGCTAGGCTTTTGTCCAGGTGAAATGTCTACACGAGGCTTCATAATGCCCTCGCCCTTTACGCTTGTGCCAAAAGCTGGGCGAAACGCACACACTGCACGCGTGTTGAAAGCCACAGAGATTGCAACGAGGCTACTCGCAATTCCTTGTGCTCTTGAAAAACATAATCTATTCACTGCGTGCATGGCCGCACAGATGGCTGCCGTACAGGTGGCTGCGTGCATATACTTGCTTGACGGCCATGCCCTTTCCATAGCGCGCGACCGCGTTAGCCTCAGCATTGGCTTTCTGAAAACCATGGGGTCCACTTGGCCTCTCGGAAAGATAATGGCAATGGAAGCTCGAGCCATTGCGCGCTTGAGTTTCTCCAGTACAAACACTCAGTATATCAGACCTATGCAGGTAGAACCTGTGGCTGCAGAAATCGAACTACCGCGCGATGAGGTGGTATCTCCTGTTGATCCTTTAGCTCAGATTGACATTTACGCTGGTCTCACGCTTCCTGTAGATTTGAGCACGATACCTTTTGGCTATCCAAGTTGTTGGGGTTAAAGATGGAAAGTAGCTGAAATCACTGATACTACTAAAACTGTTATATTCATGCTGTATGAGGCAAAAGACAGACATGGCTGGACACTGCTGATCCCGAATTTGATCGGGTTACACAGCGTTAGCTCACTCTTCGCCAATATGATCAGCGCAACACGACCGATCAGCTATGAGGTCAACCGTGGACGAGCAAGATCGATGTAACAATTCTTGGTTTGACAGCATGATGGCAACAGTACAACAAGAGACAAATCAGATTGGCTAAGCAGCATATTACTACTCCAAACTAATGCAGCGTAGACACCAGCCGATAAATGAGGTCATTACGTACAGTTACAGAGGGTGGACACAACACAACCCAACACATGCCAAACCCCATTTTTCACTCGAGTATATCTGCAACCTCGGGAGTGAGTAAGCAAGCAAGTTCATCTATCCGCTGGCTCGCTATCAGTTGCCCAGCGGGCGTATCTATGCCATGAGCAAGGAAGCTGTTCACGTCATACTCCAAGAGGCTAGCGCCTCAGACCATTCAAGTCGCAGCCCCGCCACAGATCTGCAATTCGCTCTAGAGTGGGTCCCTGCAGAAGTCGTCTGTTCGTCCAATGTTCGAAATAATCCAATGGATTTAAAGCACGAGTGGCCTTCCGTCTTCTCCCCTTCGTGGCAATGCATTCAGGATAACGACACGATGACGGGTCCGGTTTTCGGCTGATTTTGCGAAACTAGAAGCAACTTCTCTTTTTTTTTTTCTTCCTCATTTTGCTGGTCCAGGACAACGCACGGCAATCCACGAAGGAAAAAAAAGAAGAAGAATTCAGCGCGACTGCGACTTTGCGACGAGTCATTCGGGTACTTCCGAGGAAACAACACAACGGTACTGACGACACGATGAGCGACATTGAGAAACAGTACGATGTGGCGACGCCGGGTGGTGCGAAGAAGAGCGAGGAAATTGCTGACCAGAGGGATGGGATTGATCTTGTTTTCGAGGCCAAGCTTGTGCGCAAGCTGGATATTTACATTATCCCAGTGGTTATGCTGTTGTACCTGTTCAGTTTCCTTGACAGGTGAGTTAGAGGGGATCTCATTGATTGAAGAGACCAGACCATTGAAAAAATCCCGTGAATTTGGTAGTACCGACATACTAACTACAATACCAGAGTCAACATTGGAAATGCCCGTCTCTACGGTCTCCAGGAGGATCTCAAAATGAACGACTCGCAGTTCCAAACCGCAGTCTCGATTCTCTTCGTCACCTACATCTTATCGGAACTCCCTTCAAACCTGGTTCTGAAAAAGTTTACGCCCTCCCGGTGGATCGCATTCATCACCCTCGCCTGGGGCATCATCGCAACCCTCACTGGTATCGTACAGAGTTATGGCGGCCTCATCGCATGCCGTCTTCTCCTCGGAGCCGTCGAAGGCGGCCTGTTCCCCGGCATGGCCGTCTACCTAACCTTCTTCTACACCAAACGCGAACTCGCCCTCCGCATTGGCTACCTCTTCGTTTCCGCCGCCCTCGCCGGCGCCTGCGGCGGCCTCCTCGCCTACGCAATCGGCCACATGGACGGCACCGCCGGCCAGCGTGGCTGGCGCTGGATCATGATCCTCGAAGGCATCCCCACCTTCATCCTCGGCATCGCCACATGGTTCGTCCTCCCCAACTCCCCCGAAACCGCCTACTTTTTTTCTCCTGAAGAAAAAGCCTTTGCCGCAGCCCGTCTCAAGCGGCAAACGGGGTACACGAAGAAAGCAGCAGAGTTTCACTGGGATGACGTGAAGAAGGCGTTTAAAGACTGGAAAGTGTGGACGTTTTGCTTTGCGCAGTTTGGATCCGATACCATGCTTTACGGCTATTCGACTTTCCTGCCTACGATTATCCGCTCGATTAATACGACGGCGAGTAGTGCCATGGTGCAGGTTCTTACTATCCCGTGTTACGCGCTAGGCGCAGTTACGTACCTAGTCGTTGCGCACTTTTCTGATCGCCAGCAGAAACGCGGGTTGTACAGTGTTCTCCTTGGCCTTGTCAGTATCGTCGGTTACACCATGCTTATTAGCGATTCAAACTCCAAGGTACACTACGCGGGTTGTTTTCTGGTGGCGATGGGGCTGTATGTTTGTGTGGGGTTGCCGCTTGCGTGGTTGCCGACGAATTTGCCGCGCTATGGCAAGAGGACTACCGCGACGGGGTTGCAGCTTAGTATTGGGAATTGTGCGGGGATTATGAGTGCTTTTGTGGGTTTTCCCCTTTGTCTTTCTTCAAATCTCCTACGCGAGGTTCTAAACGCAAGTGCTAATATTGATTTCCAACAGATTTATCCAACCGCCGATCGACCCCGCTTCATCAAGGGCCACGGCATCACGATGGCAATGGTGGGGTTCGCTTGTACGTGCTACTGTGTTTTGTGGTTTCATTTCTCGAGGGCGAATGCGAAGAGGGAGCGGGGTGACGAGGATGCTGCGGTGCAGAGTTTGAGTGATGAGGAGATTGCCGAGTTGGGGGATGATAGTCCAAGGTTTAGGTATACGATTTGAACGTGCTTTTCTTTTTGGTGGGAGATATATACGTGGAGCTTGAGTGTTTAGGAAGATTGGATCTGGATGCTGTATATAGTGGTGTGTGATATATATGAGATGATTTCGTGTATGAAGCTATGCTTAGGAGAGCATTTGACTTGGTATATAAGAGAAAGTGTTCGACAATTAGTACATTACGTATCTATGTAATTGTTCATTGACATGTTTCTATAAAGGTTATTCTGATAAATTTCCGTCTTTCCATAAAAAGGTAACAATTCTGTTTGGTGTTAGGCCGGCCGTAGTACTGGTGCTTGTGCTACCAATGCTTCTGACGTCCGAGTAAGACGCAAACGAATCCAATTGCCGTAGTAGCCGCTGTCGATAACGCTACATATACGGGTGGCCTCAAACACAATTGATTGTAGCATGCGCATATGGAATCCGGCCAGTTGCGACGCCTTTGCATGGTAAAGCATGCAGTAATGGATCATTGCGCGATGCGTCGATCTACTTTCAAGCCCCTCTTTATTATTTCGTCGATCCATTTTCATGCCCTTAGAACGTTCGCTTTACTACCTTGGTACGTTGCAGCCGCTGCTTAAAGATAGATTGAGGCTCCGCCCAGGACTCGCATATCGTTTTTCTGTACACTACAATCACGCTCAAGTCCTTACCTACGTGCCTTTCTTGCGGTACTAAATCACATCGCTGCAAGGCTGTGAACTACTTGGTAATGTGCTCAAACACTGCTCTAAACGACTAGCTTTAGGGGATAAGATCTAACAACCTAGGAGGCTAGGTAATTCTTTGTGTCTAGTTGCAGCACGTCGCTGGACGTACGCTTCTTGTATTTTGGCAACCCAATCAAGTCTCCCTTATAGTACACATGGCGGAGCTCACAGATGCGCCAGAGTCGTCTACCCAGCTATATCACCCACTGCAGGATGCGGCATCATCGGGTTCTGACGTTAATGAGCATCTAAACTGGGGAATTCGCCTCTTCTACTCTTACCAGGCAATCAAGATTCTCCGATTCAACGCAGTCTATCGGTTTCGACAATAGGTGATAGTTGGGGGCTTATGCAGCCCTATCTTATGTCTGGGGCGTACTTGCTATTATAGACACCGTTATCTTTAACGGTCGACCTGTGCTTGTTACTCGGAATCTCTAATGTGCATTACGGTGTCTCCGTTACAAGACATCAGCTAGACTCTTGTGGGTCGACGTGCTTTATATCGATCAAACGTGTACGGAGGATAAAAGCGTTCAAGCCCCGCGTATGTGGGCGGTCTTTACCTTTTGTCAGAAGGCTCTGATATTTCTGGGCGATGAATCAGATGCAACGACAACGGTGGGGCCGCGCATGGATTATTCAGGAATATGTTGTTGCAACGAATGTCCAGTTCCTATGTGGTGCTTGCATTTTACAAGGCGATGAGTTTTATAAAGCGATCGATCTCCTTATAGAGTATCGATTCAAGGCCATAATTCCACAAGAACAAGCCTACTTAATCCAACATGTCGCGTCCACGTCAATTCATCACCTTTGGTCCACTCGAGACAAATACCAACAAGGTTTGCAGCTAGGCAAGCAGGCTATAGATATCCTTTACAAGTTCAGATCATCACAGTCGTTAGATCCACGGGAATAAGATTTTCAGCCTGTACAAACTCATAGGCCAGGTACCCGAGTTGGCTCTAAATTACGCACAATCTGTCTAGGATCTTTACCAAGCTGTTGTGAAGACCGCCATTGAATACTCGAGAACCTTGGAGATTCTGTCATATCACAACCGGAATGCTCGGTCTCAGCTTATGTTGCCGATCTGGTGTCGTGATTGGACAATACGGCGAGGAAAGTGGATTTTGCTTTGGCCCAACGGATACAAAGCCTGTGGATCATTAGAAAGAGCGCAAGCTCTGGTCAGGAAAGGTGTTTTAACACTTGTTGGTGTGCCCATTGCTCGCGTACAAGTTCTAGAAAGGTTTCCGGACAAGAAATTCTATGAGGGCATATCCGTGTATGACACACCGCACTTGTTGCAAGAGAAGTTACGTAACTGGGTCAGTATCGGCTTAGATGAAGCCACTAGGCTGGACATTTTCGGAAAACAATCGTCGCTTCGAGGATTTGCTTCAATGGACCCCAGGGTTTAGCTACTATCCTAAGTGAGCATCAGGCTGATACAATTTGGGACGCATGGTCCGCACAAGCAAGCAATTCTATTGCGAGTATTGACAGTCTCGCCAAGTCTTATAACGATGCACTCTTTACTGCTCTTTGCGGACGAGCACTGATTATTACAGACAACAAATCGTTGGGTATAGTCGACCAACCTATTCAACATGGTGATCTGATCTGTGATTTTCCTGGTGGACAAGTCCTTCTGTGTATCCGTGCTATAGATGCGAAGATGAATCGTAAGACGTACCAACTTATTGGTGAATGGTAAGCCGCATCTTCCCCTTTTCTGCGCTTTACAATCTGCTTACTTTTTCCTTCATTCGGTTACCTTCATGGCTACATGGAGGGGGAGGCGCTTGGAAAACGACATGGGGGCGAAGCAGACCTGATGAAGTTCGCACTTTTGTGATTGAAGGCCATTCCACATCGGCTCAGTTCTTCTGCCCAGCCACACCACCCAGATCACGCAATGATGCTGGTCAAAGCCTTGCCGCCTAAACTTGCGATCGTCATGAAGTCTCTCCGTCTTCCACAGTCGCGCGAGAACAGTTCATTCAATTATCTTCATTTCCTGCGAAGCTGCAAGGATGCGACCGCAGTGGGCCATTAGCCCATCTGGCTAGCTATAACAATATACCAATAACTCACACTGCTATAGTAGTACATCACTCTGCTAGAACTGCAAGACTCATTTTGAAGATAGTCTAATATTCAAGATGAAAGGGCTAGAGCTCCGACGAACATGCAAAAACGTTGAATGAACTTTTAACTACAGGATAATGCCGTACGAAGTATCAAGATTTCTGTACTAACGCAAGGTCTCAACAAGAAGAGATAACAAAACTCGGCTGCTCAACGATGAAGTGATGATTATATTGTGGATTCGCTCAGATAATCACATCGCTAGTATATCATCCATGCTGCGTTTTCACCTCTTAATTTCTGAGAACAAAAAAGGTTACGAGAAAATGAAAGAAACCAATACATCTCCATAACTACAATTTCTGAAACCAGCGTAATCCCTCAACTTCCCAGTATGCCTCGCGAAAGACGCCTGAATTCTCCCTGACATACTATTCACAAGTCTTCACGCTCGTTTTCTCCGCACACTCCTCATCCCACACTTTCCCCGCCTACTCACCACACAATGCCGTGTTGAACACAATTTTCATATCCACAAAGCGCTCGCTGAAATCGCACCCTGAGCCGCTAAACCGCGCCATCGGCGGGCCCCAAGTAGACGGATCCGGCGACGTAACAGCTGTAGCGTTCGACTGCGAGAAATACTCAGTGTACCCAGGCGAATCGTGAGGAAAAAACCACACCGAGATACTCGATTCCGCCCACTCCATAGCATACACCCCACCCTTCGCATCGTTAAACTCCGTCACATACGACGGAACCTGCGCCCCACCCATCTCATCCCGCACAACCCCCATCTACACACCATCCCCGCTCTCCGGCGCGCGAATCGAGCATCCCGCATTCTTTCCCTGGCCGGGGGCATCGACATCCCAATTCCCCGTCACCATCGTACCCGTGAACTCGCCAGCTCCAGTCTTATCATCAACAACGCATCCCGCAGACGTATGCAACGTAACCGCATTCCCTACCGACTCATTCACTCCCTCAAGAGTATCTATCTCCCCACCTTCTGGCCATGCCCTCGATGCAGACAGCATCCAAAATGCAGATCAAACCCCACATTGCGATGCAGGCATGTGCCGGATATCGACGACCAGCAACCCTCGATTCCAGCTTTTGTTGCTCTCGAGGCGCAACGAGGCGCGGCCGGAGACGTCTTTGGTTGTGTGGTCTACGCCGAGGTATATGGAGTTGTGGGGGGAGAGGTAGCCGAGGAGAGAGTGCGAGGCTGCTGAGGAGAGGTTTTGGTATTGGACGAAACCGTTGGTGGGGTCGGGGGAGGAGAAGAGGGAGAAGGAGGGGAAGTAGTTTTGGAGCTTAGGTCGTCGGTGAGGGTGTATGTTGGGGGGTTGGTAGTATTGGGGGTGTGCGTTGGGTGTGGGGTGGTTAGAAGGGGGAGGGATAGTACGGCTAGGGCCGTTGTAAAGAGCTTTGAAGAAGACATGGTTGTATGTTGGGTGTTTGGATTATTGAGACCTTTTCTGCTATTGCTGGGTACTCTTTTGGCTTCAATGTTAGCGTTCAAATGAGTAGGGGAAATGAATAAACATTTGTACTGGTTGATGTTGGAGACGAAAGGGCATTGTGATGCGATAATGTAGGGATTTTACTGGTTCTCATTAAAGGTTCACAATAGCTGCGTGTCTATCTATTGTCTTATTGATGTTTTGTAGCAGTGAATGTAGCACAGTAATTTCTATTCTCGACACACCTAGGCATCACGGATCCTATAGCCAGTGATAGTAAGGAGATGACATGGCAGCAATGGTAAGCGCTTTAAGAATGCAACTCTGATTGGAGATGTCGAAACTTTTGATTGGATCGATATGTATCGCTGTTATACCGACTGGTTCTACTTGTGCATCAGCCAGCTATCTCTCAGTCGCCCAAGCACTCACTCAGTACCCAGTCCACACCGCCGCACTCTCTCAACTACTCTTCTTGCTCTTTGGCACAATCTTGAGCGAAAAGTCTACATGCGGCACTCCCTGATGTATACTGCTCGTGCTCACAATATCAATATCTCCACAAACATACTTTTCGACATTATGCTCCGTCAAACCCCCGCTGACCTCGACAAGAAACTGCTTCCTATCACCAACACCACGCCCCCATTTATCTTTCAAGTCCTTAGCAGCAACTTGGACCCCCTCAGGAGTAAAGTTGTCCAACATGACGATATCAGCGCCCGCGGCAATCGCCTCATCTGCTTCTTCAAAGGATTGGCATTCGACTTCGACCTTGATTGCAAAACCACCTGCAGCCTTGGCAGCTTTCACAGCGTTGGTAATGCTTCCTGCAGCGACAATATGGTTATCCTTTAGCATCGTCATGGCGCTCAGATCAACACGGTGTGCGTCCACGCCACCAACCAGCATGCCATACTTCTCCACGAGGCGGAACCCAGGCGTGGTTTTGCGGGTTCCAGCAAGAATATTGGGGTATCCCGCGCCACGTAAAAGGGTCAGTAGGCGATGACTCTTGGTAGCGATGCCGGAGCAGCGGGCGAGCGTATTGAGTGCTACGCGCTCGCCGAGAAGAAGGTGGCGGACTGGGCCACGGACTGTGGCGCAGTGAGTAATGGGCTGGAAGGATGTGCCTTCTTTGACGTGCCATTCTACACTGACAACATGTCAATCCTCGCTACGGAATGATGTGGACAGTGGAGGACTCACGTGCAACCTAGTTGACGGAACACTTCATCGAAAAATGGCACGCCGGCTACTATGCCCTACTCTCTTGTTAGCAGGATGGATAACTAGAGTAGGAAAAAGTAGAATCGCTTACCTCACTCTTACCCAGTAGCTTCGCCTCTGACACCTCCTCCCCAACCACGAACCCACCATAATCGAAGCTCGGCGTGTCCTCCTCGAGCCATTCCGACACAAGCCTCTTGTACGTTTGCGGTAGCAGATGCGCTACCGCGCCGTGTGCTGGAGCACCCTCAGCTACCTGCATATTTTCGAGTTCGACGTGGTATGTTTTGAGGCAGCGGGAGCTCTTTTGCCTTGCTGGGGATTAGAGGTGGGCATCCGAGATGAAGGTTGTCGGAACATCCGTCGGAACCAAGGTTATCGATAACGTAGCAGCTGCCGCCACTAAGCGGCCGAGCATCGGACTCGTTTTTGACGGTGTATCACGTGAGGACTGACAGGTGATGGGTGATTTTGAGAGGTGTATATTTTTTAAGTTGATATTATATATTGAATGGGTTATCATGGATGTAGTGAGCTTCAATCATTGCCCTTCGTTTCACGTCGGATTCACCTCATCGCATGTTGTATCATCCAATACCAACTGCCCTTATGGCTTCGTATCGTCCTCAAGTTTCATGAATACTTTGCCGTTGTCTTGCGATTTTTTGGGATTTATTCAAGAGTTGTGGGCTCGACATAAAGGCATGGTAGTTTGTGCTTTGTAGATATCACGGTATGCAATAAGGGATAGAATAGGCTCAGAGTACTACTGAAGACGCATAACAATCACGTTGACAACTAGCTCTCCTCGCATTCATGTAAGTTTCAGTCTCCTATATATGCATTAGTGAAGATGGAGAACCTTGACATATTATCAATCAGTATCACTGCACGGCCCTGAACAAATTCACATGAAATTCATGAATAGCTGCGACATAACGTAACAGTATGCACAAAACGGGTTCTAGTGATTCAATTCGCAATTTTCTACCATTACCAACAACTTAATAAGCTTACCGTAAGACGGGGGTGATAATATCGTAAAGGCTGACCGCAACAGGTGCTCTTCTGAGCTTGGCGACGCTTGCTGGGTTGCTTCGGACCGTGAATAGCTGCGCCAAGTCGCCAGTAGTTGTGTCAGTCATTCTAGACCAAAGAGACAAGCGGCTCATTGTTCTAGAAGATCATCGATCATAGCGCTCTCTACTCCGCATGCGGTATATTGGCACGCTGCTCTTGCACAGCTCCCGTTTTGGACTTTTCGTCGCGTTAAACATTCATCCAACCCATGCCTAGACACACGATATGTCCGTTAGTCTACGACCCCGAGTTTGTGCACTCCTCTGCTGAATTTACATTTGTCAGTATACGCGCCGGCACGGCACTGCCGTTGTCGGACAGCATTTCGTCAGATAGCATTTCGTCGTCACCATCGTAGTCAGAATCAGTAGCGTCGCCGGAACTTTCTGATATGCTCGAAAAATCACTTCCAAAGCATCTATCAAGGCTATTGCCGTCGCTGTTGCTGCCGCTCTTTGGGTTCATGCAGCTGGAGCAGTTTTCTGTTGTCGTAGCGCTATCTGCCATGTTAGCGGGGCATTGGTACCCGTCATGCTCGTGAGTTACGATAAGTCTAAGGTGGCCGCAATTGTAGTAAATGATGTGTGTTATCGGCATTGAGGGGGGCCGCTTTGTCCTTTTGCTTATTGTAATTGATGGTTGTTGGTTGTATGATATAGTCCATTGGTCATTCAGGTATGTTTTATAGAATTCCAATCAGTCTCAGTGTTCATTCACAGCTAAAAAAGCAATGCCCTTTAGTTCCATGAGGTTGGAATTGTTCGTCTTGCGTGCCTGTTGTGAGTAATACTTGTGCAAGCTCACTCAGACACTATATTGTCACTATGAAGACTTGATGGGACTCGCATCTTGCCAACCTTATTTTGCAGATGCGACGAGTCAATTTCATAGCTTTCCAGTAGCGCTAAACAGCCATTGTGACCAATCTGAGAACCAGATATGACTGCAGATGTCCAAGTGCAAGGAAGAAGCTTGATCCAGGGTACCAAGGTAATGCTCCGAGAAATCTGTGGAGATGGCCAAGAGTAAGAAGCAGCGGGTGGCGACAAGACAAGACCACAAATGTAGATGTTTTTCGTCAGCAACCCGGATGGTGATGGACGAAAGGAGGAGGTACAGGCGCCGTATGGGTTACGAAAGGAGGCGCAGGCGCTTCGTGGGTGGATACTGATAGCAAGGACTGATGCAGCAGTTGTAGGAACTCTTCTGGGTCGTCGGAAAACGTATCACATGAAGAAACAGGGTACGAGGAGAGCAGAACATGTGAGTGTCGCGATTGAAGCCAGGTAGTGAGGGTCACGTGATGGAACAGCCGCAACCGAGGGTATTGCAGAGGCACCAATAACAATCAAACCGTAGTCTGGGGTCGAGGAGGTGCCGAAACCAAAGCCGCAAGTCGGCTATCTAAGCTAGCAGAAGCTACTAATTTAGCAGGTGCGTTTGTGTGGAGTCCCATGACGGTCATTGCGTAATTGTAACAAGTATCAGGGCTTTGGGCGTTTCGCACTAGATGTGTTGTGAGCTTCTTGGATGCCCCTTTGTAGACGGCGTTACTAGGCGTAGCGTAGAAGTTATGGCTGTTGTTGCGGAGAGTCTCCGGAGGCTCGTATACATGTATACAACGCATGATTTTGTGGTTTCTGTGCTAGTGGGTGATTATTGGGTTTAGACTTCAGAGTGTCGGAGTATTTTCTTTGCCAAGAAGGTTGAGTGTCAGGGGGTTTTGCTTTGGTGATTACATGCGTACTTTGCGATAGCCAGAGTGGTATGATGCATGCGATCAGCATACGACTTTCCCAAGGCGGCGGTGACATCTTGGCAACTGCTGTTTCAGGTCTCTAAAAAATTTTGGGTTTGTTCACTTTACCTCGACGCATTCGAGACGATGAGGCTCTAGGGAAAGCAGTGGACGGTCCGGCACTCGGCCCCATTTTGCGCTAGTAAAATCGGTTGTACCCGAAAGTCTGACTGCACTTACATCAGATAGCAATGTGGAAAATATGAGGGTAGGCAGGCTTACATGCATTCGTACCACAAGATAAGCGCAAAAGTAGGACCGACTCATAGCCAAATGTTGGTATGCTCATGGGTCTTTTTAAACAACATACATATATGAAGTTGCATAATCAGGGACATGCAAGTGGAACAAAAACGTACATAGATACGTACCTACTGATAGTGTCGAAGGGCTTGGAAATGAAAGGCTCGCTTATGACATGGTCTAAAGAGCCTGTGGGTAAATGCAAACCTCGCAGGCACACATGAACTTGCTTAGCAACGGCGCATGTCAACACTCAGATCCAATAAAGTCGACTTGATCGCAAGGATACACCATGGTCTTACAGCCAGCAATACGTGCGACAATGGTAGCTGTTAGCCAAAGGCTTGGGTACTTCAACTGCCGAACTCGCCACCAACTAGCATAGGGTATTGACGACAAAATGTCGTCCCGCTCCGCCAAGGGCAGCGCCATTCCTCCCCGCCATCGGCTTAAGTTGCACGAGTCAGCCCCTGTCGGCCAAGAGTCGCCCCGCAAGTTGTCAGCCAAAGAGAGGTTGGTTTGCGACAGTGCGGGCCGGTATAGGGTTGTTGTATCGACTCGGTTGAATCCCCCCGCTGGAGGTGCATCCGGGCCCGGTTGCCGCCAGCTTAAAGGGGACAAGAGGATTGAAGCTAAGTATGTTCTGCCTGCCCTCCCTCTGCGAGCAGAAACCAAAGCAACTGCCGGCACCCTTTTCCTGTTCCCGTGCGACGCCTCATAGCGCCTCTTGGACCAAGACGCCCACCGACCACAGGATCCGTCGTACGACCTTATATGGGCAGTGCTCTTCCCCAGATTCTTTTCCCCAGACTCTCGGATAGTGTGGGGCGACAGCAAGTCGACTGAGAATTTTTATTCCTCTGACTGGACCATTGGCTGCGATATCTCCCCCCTCGGACAAGATGGTGCAACCAATCAGTGCTACGGATGAACGCTCCCCTGCGGAGATAGAAAAGGGGCAAGACATTGTTTGTATGGCTACTCGTTTCTGACGCGATGAGAATATACTAACAAAATTCATTCAGACGACGAGGCCAATGGAAGCGACAGGTCCACCGAGGGCGAATTCTCCTGGACCCCTGAGGAAGAAACCAAGGTCCGACACAAACTAGACCGCGTCATTGTACCGCTCACGACCTTTCTGTACTTGCTGTGTTTCCTCGACAGGTATGAAGCGCGCGCGCTCTGCAGTAAAGGAGTTGGTTACTAATTTTTCAACCAGAATCAACATTGGAAATGCGCGTATCCAGGGTTTGGGCGATGACCTGAACCTCAACACGGGTGTGCGGTTCAACTGGGTCACATCCATCTTCTACATTGTCTACATGTTTGTCGAAGTACCCAGCAACCTTCTTCTCAAGAAACTCGGCCCCAAGTGGTACCTGCCTCTCCTCGTGTGCGGATTCGGCTTCGTCTCGCTCTGCACTGCCTTTGTAAACAGCTTTGCGGGTTTGCTCGTGGCAAGAGGATTCTTGGGTATATTCGAAGGTGGTGTCATGCCGTAAGTACTGCTCAATGCGCATTCTCAAAGTTTACTTGCTGAGTCATTACAGTGGTCTTGCATTCTTCATTACTTGCTTCTACAAGCGCAACGAACTTCTCTTCCGCGTCGGCATCTACGTGTCAGCAGCCTCCATGGCTGGAGCCTTTGGTGGTCTGCTTGCTACTGGGTATGTATAAATTTTGCGATGAAATTTCAAACGGGAACTGACATGTGACAAGTCTTGCCCGTATTCCTCCATGGGGCGCATCAGGCATGATCATTCATACTTGGCGAAACATTTTCTTTTTTGAGGGACTTTTCACCATATTCGTTGGTCTTGCCGCTCCCTTCGTGATGCCTCGTAGCCCCGAAGATTGCTGGTTCTTGAACGAGCGCGAACGAATGATTGCTTCGAGGCGACTTATTCAGCGGGGTGGAGGCGACGAGAACGAGAAGACCCAACCACACCACATCAAGAGGGCTGTGATGAACATCACCAACTATTTCTGCGCCCTGGGCTTCTTTTTCATCAACATCACCGTGCAGGGTATCTCGCTGTTCATGGTAAGTTTGCGTGTTTTTGAATATGAATGACTTGCTGACATTGCCCTAGCCCACTATCCTTGCCGATCTTGGCTGGACTGCGACAAAGGCACAGCTGTACTCTGTACCTCCGTACGTGTGTGCATGCGTAATCGCTATTGGTATCGCCTTTATATCAGACAAGACGAACCGCCGTGGAATCTATCTGGCCGTTTTCACGCTTCCTGCTATTGCTGGCTTTTGCATCATGCGCTGGGCAACTGACCCCTCGACTCGATATGGCGGCATCTTCCTCATCACGATTGGCGCTTTCCCCGGAGGTCCTGGATTCCTTGCATGGGCGGCAAACAACGCCGCTGGACCTGCCGTCAGATCCGTCTCTACCGCTTATGTTGTTACTCTTGGTACCGCCGGTGGTATCGTGGCAACCTGGTATGTTGAACCACCTCGCTGCGTGCTTGATTGACTCGAACTAACGCAAAACCTGCAGGACATATACTCGTTCAGATGCGCCCCGCTACCCAACTGGCCACACCATCAACCTCGCTGGTCAAATCTGTGTGTGCCTGCTTGCTGTCTTCGGCATCATCTACTGCAAGTGGGAGAACAGGCAGCGCGACATGGGCAAAAGGGATCACCGTCTGCAGGGCAAGTCGGATGCAGAGATCAAGGACCTGGGATACCGGCATCCGGAATTCCGATACATGCACTAGGCGTGTACTTGGATGCACCGACTATGGAAAAATGGCTTCAACTTGCTGTCTATTTTTTTTTTCTTCTTCGCTTTAGTCGAATGTTAGCGTAATGGCATGAATAGTCGTCAGATTGGGAAATCTCAACCTTTTCCCTTGCATTCAAGTGTACATTTTGTGACATGGTGTGCATGTGTAATGATTACTAATGAAAAGTGTTCGAGCTATAGTGTGTTGTTGAAGTCATGTTTTCTGGTCATGCTCAAGTTACTACATACTTACGTATGTACATGGAAACTCGATGCCAGTCACGTGGGGGCTGTCAGTGCGTCATTGGCTCGTGCGGAAAATGGCGGCATCACGCTGTGCATGGCGGGGCATGGCGGGGCAGCGAAGAGGAAAAGTGAAGAGGCCTAAGAATGCTATTGAGTTTGCGGGTAAAACATATGGCAGCACGTCGATTGGAAGAGTGCAGCAAGCAATGCCGCCGGACCACACTGGGCGCACCCGTAACAATGCCTGGGTAAGCAAATGCCCGGGCAGCTTGCTCGCAATGAATCAACGGCACGCAGCAAATATTTTTGTTGGCCTAAGTATGTGACTAACTAACCCGCAACCCGGCCAAGTCGGCTTCTCCATGGGCAGATTGAAAACCCACCAGCCGCCCCGTCGCCTCTTCGCCCGTCTTTTGTTCTCCGTTTCTCACGATGACCGTCACCGTCGTCCTCGGCGCCCAATGGGGTGACGAAGGCAAGGGCAAGCTCGCCGACATCCTCGCCCACGAGTCGCAAATCTGCTGCCGCGCCCAGGGCGGTAACAACGCAGGCCACACCATTGTCGCCAACGGCATTACCTACGACTTTCACATTCTGCCCAGCGGCCTCGTCAACCCCGGCTGTATCAATGTCATTGGCAGTGGCTGTGTCGTCCACGTCCCTAGTTTCTTCAAGGAGCTCGAGGCGCTCGAGAAGCACGGCCTGAACACCGATGGCCGCATCTTCATCTCGGACCGCGCCCATGTCGTGTTTGACGTGCACCAGATGGTCGACGGCCTCGAGGAGGTGGAGCTGGGTGGCGGCATGATTGGTGAGCATCCCGCGACCATGTTTGCGCCTTTGCACAGTGCTGATGGCGTGACATAGGCACAACAAAGAAGGGCATCGGCCCAACTTACAGTACAAAGATGACCAGGAGCGGTCTGCGCATGTGCGATTTGTTCGACGAGGCTATTTTCGAGGCAAAGCTCCGGAGACTGGCCACCGGCTTCCAGAGGCGCTTTGGCGACCTTCTCAAGTACAATGTCGAAGAGGAAATTGCCAGGTATAAGGTGAGTAGTCGCGTCGCTAGTGTACATAACAAATGGCTGACGCTGTATCAAAGGGCCTCCGCGAAAAACTTGCTCCGTATGTCGTCGACCAGATCCCTCTCCTGGCTTCGGCAAAGGCCAAGAATGCGAAAATCCTTGTTGAAGGTGCCAACGCGCTAATGCTGGACATTGACTACGGCACATACCCCTTTGTTACATCGTCAAACACTGGCCTGGGAGGTGTCATTACAGGCCTCAACATCGGATGGCGGTCATTGACCGAGGTCATCGGCGTGGTCAAGGCCTACACCACCCGTGTTGGATCGTAAGTTGAATACCCTAGCAAAAAACGAGCAATGTCTGACTTGAGCAGTGGTCCCTTCCCTACCGAGCAGCTGAACGAGGTTGGTGAGAAACTCCAGCAAGTCGGCCACGAAGTCGGTGTCACAACTGGCCGCAAGCGCCGCTGTGGTTGGCTCGATCTTGTCGTAGTCAAGCACTCGCACGCCTGCAACGACTACACCGCTATCAACCTGACCAAACTTGATGTCCTCGATGACTTTGCTGAAATCAAGGTAGCAACATCATACTCATACAAAGGTCAGACACTCGATGGCTTCCCAGCCAACCCCGAGATGCTTGCCGAAGTCGAGGTACACTACGAGACGCTACCGGGCTGGCAGAAGCCGACGACGGGCGTCACCAACTGGTACGACTTGCCCAGCCAGGCGAGGAGTTATATCGAGTACATCCAGAACTTTGTGGGTATCAAGGTAAAATGGATTGGTGTTGGACCTGCGCGAGAACACATGATTACCAGGGCGTAGGTTGGGATGCTATTGACAATGCGGAAAAGATAAAGACATTCTTGGCAAAGGAAATAGAGTGATAAAAAAGTCTCTTAGAAATAGAGCTAGACCAAAATGCAGTCATGCACACATTGGATGTCGAGAGAATAGTTCACATGACGATTCGAGCTAACGGTAGCAATATCGCAACACCCATGTTGCTCTACGAAAAACGCGGCTGGGAGAGCAATAATTACTTCCAGAGCGGCGCAAGACCTGGTTCGGTACTGGTTCGCGCTGCAAGTGACAAGCGATCATCACACTTCGACGACGTCATGTACCATGAACACCCGGCAGATCCAATCAAGCCCCGGGAACCATCTGCAACTCTAAATGTTACATATAACGGCGGGTGTCCTTTTCTCAACGACGCGTCCTGTTTGCGCGATTCTTTTCTCTCTTTAAGCAGAATCAATAGAAGAAGGAAAAGACAAACCACCATGAAGACGACATTCCTCAGCACAGCAGCACTCCTGCTCTCCACCACAACCGCAGATGTAGCACCGGCCTTTCCTCTCCCCAGCGGTCCAACCAACCTAACCATAACCTACAACAACAACGACACCGTTGCCCCCCAAGGCGAACTCCTCCCTCGTCCCGGTACCCACCCATCTCCCCTTCCGCCCCCAAAAAATAAACCCCTCAAAACTAACGCTTAAAAGTAACCGCACAAGCCCCCTCCCTCTCCGCCCCCCAACTCTCCCCAGCTTCAAACTCATCCCTCTACATCCTCCTAATGATCGACATTGACGTCCCCCGAAACAACACTCGCGTCCCCTTAATCCACTGGCTCGCCCCAAACATCTCCCTTTCTTCATCCTCCTCCTTCATCATCCCCTCCCCAAACCCCGTTCCTTACCTCCAACCCTCACCCCCCGTAGGCGACATACCTCATGCGTACAATTTTGTCCTCTTCGAGCAGCCAGCAGGGTTTCAGGTGCCAGCACGGTATGCGGGGTTGGCGGGGAATCGGGTGGGGTTTGATGTTAGGGCTTTTGTGGGCGAGGCGCGGTTGGGGGGTGTGGTAGCGTCTGGGTGGTTGAGGGTGCAGAATTTGACGGGGTCTGGGGCGAGGCCGAGTCAGACGGGGTATACGGGACCGGAGAGCAATGGGGGAGGAAGGAGAGTGGTCGTGGGGTGTATGGGGTTTTTGGGTGCATTGGCGGTTGCGGTTGGGATGGTGTAGATGAATAGGGAGTGGACGAGAGCATATATTTTACGTAGGTGTGGAGTATAACTAAGTGCATTAATCAATCTACATGTAAAGAAAGAAAGAAAGAAAGAAAGAAAGAAAGAGAGAGAGAAGAGAGAAATCGTCTACAATCGTTACCCGTCCAAACGCCCATTTCTATTAGATAGAAAAGGAAATCTACGCAGCGTTTGTCTTCGCGGCGGCAGCAGCAACAGCCTTGAGCGCAGCCGGCGCATCATCCCACGGCATCACCAACTCAACAAACCTCATCTTATCCATCTCTCCACTCGAAAACTCTTCATCTGCAAACAACTTCTCCACCTCCTCCCTCGTCTCAACCCGATACGTCAACACGCTTCCCTCAGGCGCGCCAAACACCGCAGGGATATCCTTATACTTCCACTCTTGAACATCATTATACGCGTCTTCCCAGCCGTGAATAAGCCGCTCAATCGTATACCCCTTGTTGCAGATCACGAAGATGATGGGGGAAAGCTTATTGCGAATCATAGTCGAGACTTCCTGCGCGGTAAGCTGGAAGGAACCGTCGCCCGTGAAGAGGATGGTGCGCTTGATGTTTGATTCTCGGGCTGCGAGCACGGCGCCCTGGCAAGATCCCGTGGCGTAACCAATTGAGCCCCAGAGGACCTGTGAAATGGCTTTTACACCCGCCGGGAAGCGCGTTTCCCAGATGCCGAAGTTGGAGGTTCCCGTCTCGGTGATGAGGATGTCGCTTGGTTTGAGCCATTGGCCGAGTTTGGGCCAGAACCAGGCGTGTTTGATTTTGTCGTCTGAAGAGGTTGTTTCGGCGTGAGGGACGTCGTTGTTGGGTTTGGGGCCGGACTCGATATTGAGTTGGCCCAATTTGGCCGTTACCTTTGACAAGACGCCATTCATGCGTACGTTGGGGTACTCGGAGTAGCGCACTTTGCAGCCATAGCTGTGCAGGTCAATCGTCGTGAGTTGTGACATGCGGATTGTGAAGCCGGCAGTGTTGAAGTCGGATTTGATGGCGCCAATGCTGAGGACCAGGTCGGATGACTCGACACGTTCGCGGACACCAGCGTTGGATCCGTCTCCAGCGTATACACCACCGTAGTTTGGAAGTGTCTCGTCCACTGCTCCTTTGCCCATTGGCGCCACAAACGTTGGGATTCCAGACTTCTTGACCAGTTCGTGTGTCTCCTTGAGGGCACGATGGCGGATGGCACATGCATCGACCAGAATGACGGGGTTCTTTGCGGCATGGAGGGACTTGAGGACTACGTCAACTACGTAATCTTCGGCTTCCTGGTCGTTGGGCGGGTATTCCAAGTCAAGAGGCGTGTTGAGTCTGTCGCCGTCAACCTTCTTTGTCACCATGTCGCTGGGTAACGAGATGTAGACTGGTCTTGATTTGAGATAACACTCGCGGATGGCATCGTCGATCAGCATGGCAGCCTCGTGCTGGTGGTTCAGCATGGAAACGGCGCATGAGATTTCCTTTGACATTCGCGAGAAGACGGTAAAGTCGCCGTTCCCGAGCGTGTGGTGAAGGAGAGCACCATTCTTTTGTGAGACGGTGGATGGGTAGCCAACAATGTGTACAATTGGTACATATTCAGAGTAAGCACCAGCAATGGCGTTGACGGCTGAGAGCTCTCCCACACCAAATGTCGTCACGAGAGCGGAAATGCCTTTCACTCGGGCGTACCCATCGGCGGCGTACCCAGCATTCAGCTCATTGCAGTTGCCGACCCATTTCAAGCCGACCTTTGGGATGTAGTCGAGAGCGACAAGGTTGTAGTCGCCAGGCACGCCGTGGATTGATTCGACGCCAACCTGCTGCAGGCGTCGGAAGAGGTACTACGTGTTGCCGAATCAGCTAGCGCCAATGTCATACGACAATGTCGCACTCACCTCAGCCACGTCAATAGGATTCTTGATTTCCTGGGAGCGCAGATCTTGAGCCATGATTGCCAAGATGTTAATTGGGACGAAGCTTTGGCTAAAGGATTGGTTTTCGTAGAGGATGCTGTAGTGAGTTGTTGGGTGCGGCTACTTTTAAAGGTTTGCAAACGGTAGTCACTGCAGCAATGAGGTCATGTCCGTCCGGTCCTTGCCGGTCACGGTTTGTTGGGCCTATGGTGCGAGTGCATTGGGTGGGTATGCGAAATACCGCACCACTGTGGTAACACGACGTGTGGACTACGCGCTGTTTGTCAGCTCAGATGGCGTGAGCAGAGCCTTTATGCGTTGGAGTCGCATGGCCAGATGCGTGCAGTTGCAGTTGCTTGGGACAGAATACTGGAGCGCATAGCCACAAGCGGCAAGCTCTCTGCACGTCGCCTGACTGGAGAGTTAACCGCCGACTACGCGAAAAAGCATGGCAATATTGTCTCACGACATGTCTACCTCATCACGATACAGCTTGGTGTGTTGGGAATGTTCTGCATACTAGTGCTTTGTTTTAGCTCATGTCAACCATCTGCGCTATATACTACACCATAGTCGTACCTAAAAGGAAGCCATTCTGTCTGGTTGTCCTCGTCAATACTTCAGTCCTATTTACAAATTGTCGGTTTTGCTCTATCCCATTTGATACCAAGACTGTCTTACCTGACTTGCGGGTTTGGGCAAAAAAAAGTTGCAAAAACATACGATGGTGGGGATTCGCTAGTGGTCACCCACCTAACAACTAATCCGCCGGTAAAGTGCTTGTATGGGGCAGATTAGACGGGATGCCTAGCTCTCTCTTGCACGGTTAACATAAATGTTATTAATTTATGGGTATATACTAGCTGTAGTCTGAGCTACTTTTCTAGATATAGATTATTAACATTTACTATAAAACGGTTTATGTAGGCATATAGAATAACTCTAACCGCGGGAACGTGCGATAAAATCTTAACATAACGAAAGTAACAAAATATAGGCCAGGAAGTATAATACTATACCTAAGCACAGTTCGCTCTCTCTTGTAACGGGCTGAACGCCCTTTAGATAGCTCCTCGATGGAATCTCGGTCTACTTATAGAATCCAGGTGCTACCTTAAGCACCTGTATTCTCCGCGCACCGCCTGAACAACGTTCAGACGACAGCCGTAGAACCTAGGAGTTGCCTCGTACACCTAGACTTTATCGGCCTAATTATTATTTAGGTAACTAGCTTATGTATAGATAGCTACGCAGCTTAGGGGCTTAGCTCTCTATTAAACATAACCTCTTATATACCTCGCAATTACTCCTTAGAGCGTGTTAGAGATCTAAGCTAACTGTAACGGCGCAGGCAAGACTACTCGGATCAGTATCGGCGGTAGTGTCACTCAGAGGCATATGGGAGTGCGTGGGACATCAAACGAGCCTTAATTCGAATAGACACCTATAGGCCTTGTACGAAAGGATATCAAAAATCTATCGAGCTACGGTATGGAGAAGGTGGGGTTTTATATCAGCAGATCTGCCCTCGGCTAGTGCGTGCCCATGTTCGGATCCCTTTCGGATGTTAGTTCAGTGTGTACTCGAACCGTTACACTACCCCCCCCTCTATTGACAGCTAGTCCCGTAGCTGTTGAAAAATTTTCAATGTTTGTTTGTTTGTCTGTTTGCTTGATGTCGTCATCCTTCTATGCAGGGTCTCGGCCAGGCCCCGAACAGCCTCCGGGCCAAGGAGAATCCACTCAGCACGTGATATTAAATCCGTTTGCTCACTGAGTATATTAACAGCACGCGTCCATACTTGCTGTCACCAAAACACCAAAAAAATTCTACTCCTCCCACACATATACATACACACATCATGCCGTTGCGTTGCCCTGCTGGCGCGCTTCCGGAGGCGTACCGCCTCATCTGTCTTCGTTCAGTTCGTGCCTTTGCGCGCGGAGTCCACAATGTGGACTACCGTTTCGGTGCCGCGGGGTCCAAGAAGTGCAATTATTGCACTCAGCAGAAGGAGAAGTGCTCCCCTGTAAGTTTTTCAAATCCTTCCAATTGTAAGACGTTACTAACTCTGATAGGTTCCGGAGTACGTCGAGGCCGAGTTCGCCGTTTTTCTCGCGGCGATGGACCTGGTGGCTGCTGCCCGCCATGGTGACGAGCCGGAGGACGACCGGTACGCTGCCAAGCAGCGTCTCGAGTCCGCCGCCCTGGATCTGGCTCGCCAGGTCCAGGTGACAAAGAGCCAGGAGAAGGAGTTGTCCGTGGTCGGGCTCCTCTCCGCCACGCACCAGGTGCTGGTGGAGATTCGGGATAGCCTGCGCCGGCTGGAGGGCCGTGTGGCGGCGGTGGAGGATGCCGTGGAGGCTGGTGGGACTTTTGTCCCAGACCCCATGGACATCAGTTCCGGGGGCGAGTCGGAGGAGGAGTCGGAGGGGGAGTCGGAGGGGGAGACAGAGGAAACTCTGTCAGTAGACCTCCGTGGTCTGGAGGATGGGGCAGGGGAGTCTTCTGACTCCCCCATTGATTAGGTGTTCGGTGTGGTGGGTGGTTGGTTGGGTCAGGTTTGTTTCTGGGGCGTTTCGGTTTTTGTTCTATACCCATTATGAAGGATTGTTTTTCTTTTCCCTATATTTGATCATCTTGCAGTGAAGTCATATCCTCTATGCCTTGCTCCCATGCCTGGATCCACTTTGATAAGGAACGGGGAGGTCCCGGTTTTGTTGGATTTTGGTCATGGAAGGTCTTGAGCTTATGGGGTGCCCCCATAAAGTTTGAGGCAGGGTACCAGGTAGGGTCCGGATCATGTCCGACCCACCTCACCCGATACTTAAGCTTCGAGCGATACACTTTACTAGCTAAGACTTCTTCAACTTCCCACTCTTCTACTCCTTGGATAGGGGTTCCTGACGGCTTGGGGGCTTCTTGTCCGGGTAAGGGATCTTGAGGGTCTTTGCAGAGTAATTCCGGAGCAAAGACGTCATGGATCCGGGACCCTTCCGGTAGCTGTAGGCGATAGGAATTTCCTACCTTTTCTAGCACCTTGAAAGGTCCCTCCCATTTATCGGATAACTTACGGCTGGGGCGATCCGTGGCGAGGTTTTTCGTGTCTAAGAAGACTCGGTCTCCAACTTCCCAGTCAATAGGACGTCGGTGTCGGTTTACCACGGTTCGCATCCGATCCTGGGCTTTCTCCATTTGTTCCTTAGCAACCTTCCAGGCAGCGTGCATTCTGGTGGCTAGGGCGAGAGCATCCCGATGGTTGAGCTTATCGGTAGGGGATAGCTTGCTCTCTTCCTGGTCCCAGTCCCAGCTCTGCCTTGGTTCGGTTCCGTATAGGATCCGGTACGGGGACATACCGATAGAAGAGTGAGGTAGGGAAATTTGGGCTCTATCGATCAGAGGGAGTAACTCACTCCAGTTATCCTGGTAGTAGGCTACGAACGGACGTAGCCTCTGATCAATATACTTATTCATAATCTCAGTCTGGCCATCAGTTTCTTTGTGGTAGGCGGTAGATAGTTTTACTTTGACGCCTAGGATCCGACAGAATTCGGACCAGAAACTGGAGATGAACTGGGGACCTCTGTCTGAGATGATGGTTTCGGGCGTGTGGCCAAAACGGTACACCCACTGAACGAATAACTCGGCCATACCCCTCGCGTTGATGGTTTTGTTGCAAGGAATAGAAATGGCCTGTTTAGACAGGCGGTCAATGACGACCATGATCATGTCGTAACCGGACCTGTCTCGGGGGAATTCCTTGAAGTCGATGCACAGGTGCTGCATCGGCCGGTCAGGAATGAGGAGGGGGTGGATCATACCTGGGACTCGGGTCTGTCTCGGATGTGCCTTACGACAAGCTATGCAATTTCGTACGTATCTTTTGCAAGAAGACTCCATTCCTTTCCAGTAGTACTTCCGGGCCAGCAGCTGATAAGTTTTCTTAGCACTGGGGTGTGCAGAGGATACCTGATCATGGGCTTCCTGGATAAGACGGGTACAAAGGATAGAAGTGGAGGGGACGCATAGTCGGTCCTCATACAGAAGGAGGTCACCGCGGAGTCGGAACTTGCCCGGAAGGGTGGTCCTTTCTTCTGTAAAGGAGGAACGGTTGAGTTGCAAGACAGCTTCGATAAGTTCGAGGGAGTCTAGGGACATCGGCTCTGAGGTAGCCTCGACTGCTAAAATAGAATAACAATGGATTTGCAGTCGGGCCACGTAGGCTTGAGCTAGGTCGGAGTTGATCCGGCTGTCAAGTCGGTGCGGTCCTAGTAGGACCCGCGACCTATTGTCAGTTTGGGCTATTTTGAGGTTTTCTATATCTTGTTCCCGACGAGAAAGGATGTCTGCGCGAGCATTACTCTTTCCGGGGGTGTATCGGATACGGAAATTAAAGGGGGCCAGCTCTTCGGCCCACCTTGCTTGTCTGGCGTTAAGAACCTTAGTGCTCATAAAGTATTCTAGAGAACGGTGATCCGAATAGACGTCGACCTGGGCTTGAGCTGACAGGAGCTCAGGTCGCCATTTGCTAAAGGCTGTAAGGATAGCAAATAGTTCTTTGTCGTGGATCTCCCAATTCAGTTCCGATCCGGATAGGACCTTGCTATAGAACGCTACAGGGCACCATTTGTCGTTAGGTTGTTTTTGGGATAACACACCAGCCACAACGCCATCGGAGGCGTCAGTCTCTACCTTCGTATCATACTCTGGTTGATAGTGATATAAGGTAGGTATTGAAAGGAGGGCTAATTTCAATTTTTCAAAAGCTTGATCGCAGTCCGAATCCCATACGAAGGGTCTAGAGGGACTCTGGAGAGCGAGAAGAGGTTTTGCAATTCGCGAGTATTCTGGGACGAATTGTCGGTAGAACCCTGTAAATCCTAGGAACGACTTCACAGCAGTAACGGTTGTGGGTGGTTTCCAGTCTCGCAGGGCGTCTACTTTTTCTGGGTCAACTTCTAGACCTTTGTTAGTTAAAATGTAGCCCAGGTATTTGGTCCGAGTGACATGGAATTCGCTTTTCTTGATGTCAACTTGAAGTCCAGCAGCTCGCAACCTGTCCAGTACCTTGCGGACGTGACGGACGTGGTCCGGACTGGATTCGGAGTACACCAGGATATCGTCCAGATAGACTATGCAGAAATTGTCCAGATAATCAATCAGCACATCGTTCATGTACCGCTGATACGTAGCCGGGCCGTTGCAAAGTCCAAAAGGCAATACCTTCGACTTGTACGTTCCATAGCGAGTGCGGAACGTTGTGTACTCTTCCGAGTCGGGGTCCATTCGGATCTTGTTGAAGGCCGCGCGAATATCTAGCTTCGTGAAAATCTGAGCTTTGTGCGTACGAGCTAGTAGTTCGTCTATTCGCGGTATCGGATAAGCGTCCTTTCGAGTAATAGAATTCAGCTTACGGTAATCTACACAGATGCGTAGGTCTCCGTTAGGCTTCCGAACACACAGGACAGGGGAGGCGAATGGGCAGTGACTCGAGTCAATGTACCCTTTTTGGAGATTTTCCATCACAAAAGTTTTTGTAGCTTTTAGCTCTTCAGTACTCTGCTTATAGAGAGGACTGAATTGATTCGGAAGGGGTTCTGTGAGAACGATCTTGTGGTCGTATCGACGATGTTCCGGCAGCCGATCAGCGGCTGTTTTGCTGAAAACATCTCGGTACGCATAGTAGTCGGAAGGAAGTCGGTCCTGCACTAATTTGGCATTCTCAGGGTCGTCTTGTTCCAACCTTTCTTGTAAGATTCGATCTATCTCATAGATACTAGTCGTGAAGAAATCGTTTTCCTTCCGTTTCATGGTGTAATGGAAAGCATTGGCGGAAATAACCGCTATGCGAGGTGAGGTAGGTTTTGGCGCCGGAGTCCGGGGTGACTCCGGTTCAGGTGGTAAAGGCGGCGGAAGGAGACGTACCTTAGGAATTTTGATGAGTCCTTGAATTCGCTGGACCAGCCCTTGTCGAGGGCTGGTTTGTCTACGGTACTCATCCTTTTCCCAAAGGGCGTCTCTACGCCGGATATCTAGTTGCGCATCGGTATCAGAATAGGGTGATTTCAACTGCACGAGGAGAGGGGGGCTAGGATCATAAGTTGGGGGGTATTGAGCTGGCCATACGATTCGGTTCCGAGCGGTATCGAGCTTCAATTGGAATCGTCGCATCCATTTGATCCCAATAATACAATCCTGAGATCCCAAATCCATAATTACAAAGGGGCAGTTAAGAATCTTTCTTCCGTCAATACGGATGTGTAACCGGATATACTTGTCTACCCGGGTCTGTACCTGATCGTGAAATCCTTTAACTGTAATTTTAAAAGGTAGTCTGCGGATAGGTACCTGGAGAGAGCCGGATATAGAAAGGGCAATAGCAGAATTTAAGAAAAGAAAACCTTGGGCTCCGGTATCAACTAGAGATTCTAAGCTGACCCCATAACCCTTCGAACATAAAACGGTGGGGGTACGGAAATGTTTACCTCCGAACAAGTTTGATAGATCTATTTTCGCAAGGTCATACTTGTTCATGCCTAGGCTGGAGCGTTTCCCTAGGCCTCGTCGTTTCCCGACCGAGTCTCATCCGAATGATACTCAAGGGCGTCCTCATAATCTTCTATCTCTGCTTGAATTTCCCTTACCCGCGGGACCGGACAGTCATTGGCGTAGTGGCCAGGCTTGCCGCAGTGGTAGCAATTGCCGGGAGTGACATTGTCTGGTGCGGGAGTTTTCGATGCTGGTCTGGGAGTGGAGGAATAGGCGCGGTACGGAGTCGGGGCCGGGTCGGGCCTAGTGTCGTAGGTACGGGGTCGAAACTCCCGATTTGGCCGTGGATTTTGTTTTGTTGAGAGAGCTAAAGCTTGACTAGGCCTAGTCTCCGAGTAGGTACCGAGTGGTGCGTTTCTTCTTTCCATATCAAAAGCCGTTAGGTGCTGAACCATTTTTTCAAACGAGCCTGCCCACAGATGCTTAAATCCTAAGTTTGGGGCTCGTAGCGCTGGTGTGATCTTCTCCCAGAGGTAGAAGAACCATTCCGGTCTTGATACGGACCCTTTTACGGCTGCACTAATAAAGTGCGCTTTGAATTCCGTAAAGGTCTCCTTTCTTCCCATTGACAGGCGGTGGAAAGCTGCTCGGCTCTCCGCCTGTTCATTTCCAGATATAAAATATGATTTGAGTAATAAAATCATATCCTCGGCAACTAGGAACCGTTCCTCCTCCGATTCGGCGAGGTATTGTGGTTCTAGATATTCTTTGGCGGTGCCGGTTGTGTGACCCCATACTAAAGCCATTCTCGCGCGTTCGCTCCGATAGTGATCCGAGTTAATGCTGAGCCGATCTTGTATTGAGGCTTGCCATTGCCGAAAAGTAGGGTTTACTCCATCACTCAGATTATCAATTGGAGGGGTACGCTCGCTGAGTTTTGCATGTTGAGGGTCAGGTGTAACTGACAGGAACCTTGCTGATAGTCGGCTAGGTTGTTCGGTTGTAGTCGGAGGGGTTTCGGTGGTGGGTACTGGTACATCCCGGTTCAGGGTATTTTCCCGCATTAATCGTTCGACTTGGGCGTTCAGTCTAT